TTGACTTTATCTTGTTCAGACAAGTCACAACAAGTGCGAACTTGTTCTCCTTCTCTGTCAAACATACAACCAAAACAGAATACAATACACAAACGCTTGATGATTTTACTGTGTTCAAGTGTATAACACAATGTCAGCAAGGTTTCAATGTACTGGATGACATCGACAGCTTCCACTTCATCTACTAGAACTTTCTGTGAGCGTATTTTCTTGACAATGACTCGTTTGCTTGCTTTCACATCGTTATGGAACTTGATCTTCGCATCTTGCACACATTAGTCTCTGCCTTGAAACCATTGGGATGACTGCACAATGACTGTTTCGTTGAGCTGGTCAGCTTCACGCAACTCATATTTCCACGTGTAAAAGGTGGCCTTTTCAATGGTCTTTCTGTACAATGCAACAGATATTTTCTGACATGATAATGTCTCTGACTTCCATTAATATTTTCCCTAATAAATTCTCTCCTCTCCATTTCGATGGAAATACAATGTTCGAGTCAAGTAGAGATAGTCCCACACCCCATCGCCTATCATAAGGGCTAGCCTCTACTAGAATTCTAGGGTAAGAGTTGATCAGAATGTCTTTTAAGTAAGCAGACTGATGCGAGAGATGCTTCTCGCACTACGTCACAGCTAACACTGTCCCACTTCCATTGGTTAAACTGTCTAACATGTTTACCTTATCGTTTCTGCTCTGCAGGTGATAAACATTTTAAAATCTCCTCGGCTGTGTCCCAATCTTCAAACGTTACTGTTTTGCTTTACATGTAATATTGTTCAGCACAGTAAAATTCTTTATCATCAATATGAATGGCAGTAGCATAGTGTTGCCTGAATGGAGAGAACTTGGAATAAATCAATACGAACCTATCTGCTGTCAGTGTTGCCATGAGAGACGTTCACAAACACATAGACGTTTTCCCAACTCAACTCGACAGTTGAAAATGGAAGGACAAACGAATGTACACATGCATTATATCTAGAAATAAGGTTTAAATTCATTGGCTGTTGAAAGGGAAAAGTGAGCTGATTGGTTAGATAACCTTTTGGCATCATGTCTATAATTAACATTTAATATGATTGGTTCTGTTTTTTTAAGGTGAAGGGAGAGAAGGGTGTTAACACTTGTCCACATTCTTTCAGGATAGGGTAAGATTTTATTTGATTACGATAATTCTAGTATGTATCTGAAGGTATCTACCCTGACAACAATTCAATAGCTGGCATTCCTAAAGAATTCCAAATTTCTTCATGAAAGGGTGACATTCCATTTGATGACGATCATTCTAGTATACATCTGAAGGAATCTACACCGACTACAATTCAATAGCTGGCATTCCTAAAGAATTCCAAATTTCTTCATGAAAGGGTGACATTCCATTTGATGACGATCATTCTAGTATACATCTGAAGGAATCTACACCAACTACATTCCAAATAGCTGGCATTCCTAAAGAATTCCTCAACTAAGATATTTTAACAAAGGCCGCATTCTTCACATTCTTAACATTCATGCAAAATTACGCCGTTTTCATTTGACGTCATGCATGTCTATTAGCATATGCTCATGAATATTAATAGGGCGCCTTCCATGGAAGGCGCTAGACCTCCACAATATATGCTACTACTTTCTTTTACTGACACTTGTATCACGCTGCTTTTAACGTCATTCCAGTTATATCGCGGCGTGTCAGCTTAATGTGGCAGGAAAGCCCGAAGTGATGCAGGTCTGAGACGTTTACCACATCGGTGAAACCAATGAGCACGGGTATGGTGCTAGAAACATAATTGGGGCGAACCAGGATTCGAACCCACAATCATAGGTTTCTGGCGTGCCCAAGGGACGCAACTCTGCACAGCGAATCGCGGCGCCTTAGACGACTGGGCCACCCGTGTCCCCCTGCATTGAGAGACTTATATTGCAAAGTAATATCATTAAGATACTTTGTCTGTTTATTCCCTGACAGGATTAAGAAAGATGTAGTTTTACTTCAGATAATGATATGTGTGCACTTTCTGGCAGAGGATGTAAAAAGTGTACGATGTGCAAACCGTGGACATGTTTGTGTTATTGTTATGTCGCGGGTCCTGGCCGATGATGTGATTAAGTGGTCTGAGGCGGTGAAGCTGGTTTCAAAACGGTTTATTCGCTGTAACAGATAGAAATAGAATCAATATTAATTGATGTTCAGTCGAGGGAGCACGAATGTCTTCCCTGAGCTGTAGCGTGACAAAAAGTGGCCTTTGAAATTGTCTATATCACACACCAGGTGTGCGTGCGCACGAGATACTGCTGGTGAGACAACCAGGAGTAAGAGTGAGGTAAAAGGAAATAAAGATAAGTCGTGGAATATTAAAAGCAAACTTTAAATATATCCGGCGACAGTAAGGCTGGCCCTCACTGCATGAACCCACACCGTGATGGAAGCAAAATTTCAAGTGGATATTACAATTTCTCAAAACGAAAACTCAGATACAGAAAGCATGGTTTCAAAGAGTTCTGACTGTGATCCAGAAACTACATTAGACGATGAATGATGGGATGTCGTGAATGTGTGGAATACCCTGTTGATACAACTAAAGATATATAAATTTGCTATCTACATGTGTTCTTTTAACAAATAGATATATCGATGGAACTTGTCTGACTTGAATGGACATGGGACTCAACAACATCATGATGTTTATAGTGGCCAATGCATCATCATGATAATGATCCACTGTAAATAACTTATATTTCCTACATTAGACTTTCCCTGACAACCTGTTATCACTTACATAACAGTTTCATTCTTAATGTGATAATTACATTTACAAGATATTGAAGCATATTGTGTTGTATTCTTCGACGGATGAAATAATTTGTAAATTCATATCAGGATGCCGAGTGCTTATCTCTTTAATGGGCAAGTTTGAGATATCACATTTGCCATTCTTACAATGAAGCCATGACAACACGGGAAAATGAAGGATATGGGGAATGCCCTGCTCCGAGTGTTGGGTGATAGCCTAGTGCTGCCCTGGCAATATGAAAGGGATTTGAAGGATCATTACGTTGCTTAAATCATTTTGTCCTCAAAAATAGGTTATACTAGACAAATCTAGGACATAAACAGTTTACACTTCTTTTCAGCTTCTTGAGGTGACAGCACCTGAGACATAATACCACACACTACAAGCATGTGGTTAGCACAATACATGATACCATATGATTATTAGGTTGATATATCAGTTATGGAAACTTTTATCAATTTCTCAGTGAGCAATTATCACTCTCCAGCAATTTCACTGGCTCAAGTGGGTACGTATTACCTGAGAAGTTCCTGGGTGAGTTTTTTTCTATTGGAGGTTTGTAAAAGGGTGAAATGTTCAGTTTTGATAATTACTCCACTAAAGGGAAAAAATCATTAAGATTATTAACACCATTTCAACATTTAGACGAGATAGAATTGGAGATGCTTAAAAGTTGGCTATGAATAACTAATCTTGAGTGGTGGCTTTGTTTACAAAACCAATGCCGCCCTACAAATATGAACAAGTATTTAAATGATCATTAGTTCGACCAAAAACATTTAGTCCTCAGATGTAGTTAATAACAGGAAAACGTAGGACGTAAAACAGCAAGCACTTCTTGTCAGCTTCTTGATGTGATAGCACCAGACAAATATTACCTAAAATAGATTTAATATATCAGTTATGGAAGTAGTTTTACGAGTGCCGACATTCGTAACTCCTTTCTGAGTTGTGGTAGTTGGAACACAACAATAAGAATATCGTGGCCTAACTAAATGTAGGGCAGAGGCTAAGATGGTGCAGGTCTAGATGTCTTCATCTTTATCAAAACCCAGAGCACGGTCATGGCGCTGGCAAGCCAAGGCAGGTGATCAGGTTTACGAATCTGTGATGATGGAGTGAATTAACTTTTCGGTAAATTTCTCACTGTGCAATTATCACTCTCCAGATATTGGTTTGCTAAATTATTAATTCAGTATTTGCTACACTGCTTTTGCATCATTACACATTTCGAAGTTCTTGCGTTTTCACGAGATTGTATTCCGGAATTGACGTAAACACTGATGAACTGCTTCCATATTTCTGGGGGAACCCCTTGGAATCTCTGGCGCAAATAGATACAGAAGTGTTGTTTCAGATCAATAAGACCCTTCAATCGCGAGGAGCGCCTCCGTAGTATAGTTGATAGGGCGCCTGCTCGGAGAGCAGAAAGTCGTGGGTTCGATCCCAGGCCGTGTCATACCAAAAGACGTTAAAGATGGTACGTGTTGTTACTTTGCCTGTCGCTCGGTATCTCAGTGGGCCACTATAAAATCGACATCTGTCGGGACTATTACAAGCCACACACCCGCACACACACGTGCATGCACGTCACTATATAAGTGCAACATTTCACATTTCACCCACCTCACCTTTTATCGTGAACTTATGGTTTTACCTTGCATTTGAAGAGTCAGAGAGTTTGTCTGCATTCCCATTCAAGCACACCCTTACTACGATTTATACAAGTGAACAAAATGAAGAAATCCAAATCCAAACTATGGACTCCATTCGTGACTAGGCACTCACAAGTGACAGACGACAGCAATCTATAAATTTAACTTAGCATCTATTTGACACATCTATATAATCACCTTTCAGTAATCGACCAATTGATGAATAATGACTGACACATGTAAATGAACAACTTCGGAAATCTCTTTCACGTTTTCAGACATTTTGACATCCTGTATATGATGAAGATGCATAACGACACTCTGTCACTGTGACTGCCTTACTGAGGTAGTTCTTGAGCGACCGTGAAGAATTGGTCTTTAGTAACCCATACAGTTTGACCCTCACCCTATGAAGGTTCACAGACCAATGAACTCACACAAAGTGAAAGTCAATTTTTAAATAACTTGGCACATCATTCCCTCCAAATGACGGCGATCGTCTTAATTTGCATTCGTATTAAGTTGTCATCGTCTCTACTTTTACTTTCAGGTGAAAACATTGCTTTCGGCAAAACGGCCAAACAAAGTACTACTCATGGTGAATATAATGCAAGCATAGCCCTCGATGAAATCTACTCGAATAGAGGGTCGACCACAGGCCTTGGCAACCCATCCTGGTGGGAGGTGGACCTGAGGGGCTACTTCAGTATCAGCAACATCACCCTCACAGCAGTAGACATGATATGGAGTAAGTTAAATTAACGAAACTTGGAAAATATTAGTTATCCTTGGTGAAGTGTTAATATTCTTCAATACTTCACCACTGATCTTGTTGCGTGGGTCTTGTTGTCTTTCTTGCGCCTTTGTCACATACACCTAGAAATGAACAAAGAACAGTGATATACACGTTTTTAAAATATCAGGTTTCATGATACTCATTCATAGAATGGCTTTCGACCTCGAGTATAGTCATGACAATAACTATAACTGTGTCGCCCAGACACACAGACACATGAGCCTGGAGCAGGATACCCTCGAGGTTCAGGAAAAGGTCTTTGATATTGATTCAAGTCAGGGTACATAAAGTGGGATTTGTCGGGTTGTTTAGTCAGCACATGTAACCATGACATGCAGCAGGCTGTCAGAAGCACTCCATTGGCAAAATTTTGGCATGGATGACACAGGTATGTCATACAGAGCCATTGGACGTCAACTTGGCTCGTAAGAAAACACCAACAGACACGTGAAATAAAGGAAAGACCAGGGTCGATACCAGGGCCAGACAGCTGTACAGGAAGGCAGGGCTCTAGCACGTCTTGTGAGGCAACACCACTTTGCCACGAGTAAAGCTCTGAAAGAACAATGGCTTCCCAACATGCTTCTGTTCACTAGAACCGCCCCAAACTGGCTAAAATTGGGGTTGAAGTCACGAAGGGTTATCAGACGTTCCTTGTTCACTGCTTATCAGAGCTTATCAGAAACGTCACAGATGGGAAATTACGGGTTTGGAGACACAAAAACACTGCGCATACCCCTAGGAGCATTGTACTAACAGTCCCGTGTGGTGGAGGTTCTGTCATGGTGTGAGGAGCAATATCTCATGAACACGGTAACAGTTCGAGGCAATCTCAGTGGCAATCGTTACATCCAGGACATCTTCAATCCTGTTGTTATGCCACATTTTGACATTCACCTACTTGCCACTCGACCTGTGTTTATGGACGACAACGCTAGACCCCATCGTTCTCATGCTGTGACACGACTTGCTGCTATGAGTCCAGATTTTAGTCCATTGGAACATGTTTGGGACATTATTGGACGTCGGCTGAAGGCAAGAGATCCACTAGGACAGAATGTCAGATTTAGAGGCTGCATTGCATTCTTATTGTTCGTATCAGAAGACACACTGGTGGGGTTTAGGTGAAATTCGTTTTAACGTCGCGTCCAAGACTATTGCACTGATGCCGATTTATAGTGCTAGCACACTGAGATACCATGCCGCAGTTTAACATGAATGCCCCACTCAGACACAGTATACTGATTCCGAGCCGCCCAGTCCTTGTTTTAGCCGAGCGCCAGACAGGGTAACAACAAGTACCATCTTTTAACGTCTTTTGGTACGACGCGGCCGGAGATCGAACCCCGGACCTTGCGCTCTCCGGGCAGACGCTCTACCACTAGACCACGGAGGTGGTTACATCCTGGTGGAATGGGAAGAAGGGTAGAATCTGTCATCCAAGCACAGGGCGGTTAAACTCACTACTGATATTTAGGATTGTGATTATCTGTAAGATAACAATGAACGTTTTGGACAGTAATGGTCGTTCATACCTGATCAGGGGCGGTCGGGTAGCCTAGTGGTTAAAGCGTTCGCTCGTCACGCCGAAGACCCGGGTTCGATTCCCGACATGGGTACAATGTGTGAAGCCCATTTCTGGTGTCCCCCGCCGTGATATTGCTGGAATATTGCTAAAAGCGGGGTAAAACCATACTCACTCACTCACTCACTCACTCATACCTGATCATGGAACTTCCCAGATTCATAGTTTTAATGGCTGTCAATTTTGTACAATTACAGAACTGTCGCAACTGTGTTAGTAATGCAATTAAAATATTGAACCTTTGCATCAGTCTCTGTGTTTTCATTAGTCAAGAGTCTCGTCTTACACAAGGTATTTAATTCTCCACTATAGGTCAGGCTTTACGCGAATGATACCTTGTTGTTGGACAGATATGGTCGCAAAACCAGGGGGTGTTTATATCCTAACAGCATTGTCATATTTAGTCTGTAAATGAACCAAACCTGATGTGCAATCAGTTAGCACCCAGGACCCCAGCTACACTGAATGTTTCTTCATCTTTGTACATTGTGTCAATGTAACGTCATAGATGTTTACATGCAAATTAAATGTTAGCCATAGACTGAAAATCCTAACTTTACAGATATATGGAATTTATGTTATTTGTATATTGCAGATCTACACATGAGAAATGCCTTCGTGGAGGTGATGGACAAAGATGTCAGCCTCTGCTCTGATGTCCAGGTGGCGTGGTGTGGGAATGTGTCCAGTACTGTTGCCAGTGAGGAGGAGTTTACCTTCACCTGCAATGCCACATTCCCTGTCCGTTTTGTCCGTGTCACGAGACCCGGAAATGATCGTTTGAATATCGGCCACATTGATGTCCAAGGGGTCGTGGCTACACAGCGATACCGTGAGTATGCTGCCGTCAGGTTTAGGTTAGGTGAGGTGAGGTGAGGTGAAATGGGGTTTAACGTCGCGTCCAAGATTATTGCACTTATATAGCGACGTGCATGCACGTGTATGTGTATATGTGTGTGTGTGTGTGTGTGTGGCTGCTTGTACTAGTCCGGACTGATGCCGATTTATAGTGCTAGCACACTGAGATACCATGCCGCAGTTTAACATGAATACCCCACTCAGACACAGTATACTGACTCCGAGCCGACCAGTCCTTGTTTAGCCCCTTAATGCCGAGCGCCAGACCGGGTAACAACAAGTACCATCTTTTAACGTCTTTTGGTATGACGCGGCTGGGGATCGAACCCCGGACCTTCCGCTTTTCGGGCAGACGCTCTACCACTAAACCACGGAGGCGGTCCATCAGGTTTAGAGTGTTATAATTGTGTAAGGGTAAAGTATTCTGATCTATTAGCTCCTACCGACCCCATCATTGATTCTCAACTAATCTTTGGGGAATACTTCCTGAATGCAATCCTGAGGTTTTGTAGTGGGTTCCTGATCTGATTCAGCTTTCTGAATGTACATGCGTGGCTCTAGTATACTACTACAGCACAGTTACCACAGCAATTGAAAGTTTCTTAATAATAAGCAATTGTAAACTTATCACGCGTATCAGAGGACTATCTCAGCCTGTGTCAACGTATGCATAAAATATTGATTTACAGTGACGGAGTGAATGGGACATTGAATCGAGAATGGAGATTGAAAGTAGTTCCTGCAAGGTGACCTCACTTGCAACATTTCACATTATGTGATGCACGTACATTATCTTTGTTCAACGAATATTATAAGAAAACAGATTTTACAAGCGTATTCCATTTTCTAGCTCTCACCTTCTACTTTCTAGGTTCCCACTTCACGTCCACAGCCAACAGGAAGGTGTCCTTCCCATCCTTGGCTACATCAGCCGTAACAGCCGGAGCTTGTGGCATCCTTTGTCACAAAAGTCATTCTTGCATCGACTTCAGCTACAGGACCGCTGCCTCAACTGAAGCTAACTGTCTGCTAACCTACGAAGAAGTACCTCTGAATTCTGTGGCAGATCATGCCTGGAGGATGTACACCCTGGCCAGCTGCCTGTAAACACCCAAACTTGAAACTTGAATCTACACCTAAATTCCGGAAGAAGTGGACTAGAATTATGGAACGATTGTTACTTCTATTTTTAACTGTAATTATCAGTTGTATCAAAGTTTCGCTTCAGCTGAAATTGCTGTGAACACGTCTTTGGAATCAGAACATCTGTAGTATCTTTGCTGGTACAGTAATGCATATAATTCCTTGTCAATTGGGTGTTTTTTATGCACCATTTTTGTTGGGTCACAGTTGTGTTAACATCGAGTGTGACATACCCATTGTATGAACCTGTACAATCACATTACTCTCACCACAATAATTATAGCACAAATGTATTATTTATATTTATTGTTTATAAACAATTCATTCACATCAAAGCTATCAGATATATATTTTAGCATTTGCTCTCCCCCGATGTGAATATATGACCAAGCTTAGAATGTGACGTAGGAGACCGGGGCTAGGATCTGACGTTTTGGTTTAATGTAGGGAATGGATTGACTCTCCCTACATTAAGTTGCAAAGGTGAACATACGTTCTATAAGTGAGTGAGTGAGTTGGGTTTAACGCCGCTTTTAACACTATTCCAGTTATATCACGGCATGTCAGCTTAATGTGGGAGGAAAGCCCGAAGTGATGCAGGTCTGAGGCGTTTACCACTTCGGTGAGACCCACGAGCACGGGTATGGTGCTGACAAACCTAGAAACATAATTCGGGCGAACCGGGATTCGAACCCACAATCATAGGTTTCTGGCGTGCCCAAGGGACGCAACTCTGCACAGCGAATCGCGGCGCCTTAGACGACTGGGCCACCCGTGCCCCCACGTTCTATAAGAAGTGCGTAGTGTAAGTGTAGTATAGAGTAGTGTGGTAGTTTACTGTTGACTGTAAGGTTCGCGTTCCATAGAAGTTATTGTTTTCTAATAGCTTCCGCTTAGCATCTAGTTTCTATGTAAAGGTTTACTGATGGTTTGGGAAAGTTACACATTTCCGATCAGGCTCGCTGTCGTGTTATGTCCTTCTCGTTACCCGGTATATTACTTCTGTGTTTGTTTGGACTCCTCTCAGTTTCCTGAAACAGGTTATACCCCGCGAGTGAGTGAGTGAGTTGGGTTTAACGCCGCTTTTAACAGTATTCCAGTTATATCACGGCATGTCAGCTTAATGTGGGAGGAAAGCCCGAAGTGATGCAGGTCTGAGACGTTTACCACTTCGGTGAGACCCACGAGCACGGGTATGGTGCTGACAAACCTAGAAACATAATTCGGGCGAACCGGAATTCGAACCCACAATCAAAGGTTTCTGGCGTGCCCAAGGGACGCAACTCTGCACAGCGAATCGCGGCGCCTTAGACGACTGGGCCACCCGTGCCCCCTTTACCCCTTGAGACTCGTTATTGTCTGGTTTACATTGGTTGAATTTGTCGGAGTCCATTCACATTAGTTTCACTGCTGTTTTGCCTTTTGTCCAAAATTGAACAAAAGATAATCGAGACTGGGTGTTCTCTGGCGTTGAAGTTTTGTATTCAGTATACCCAGAAAGTTGCAAAGTGATTTTTGTAATTCCTTAAATCATTTCCGGGTTAGTTCCTACTCGGTTTCCTGTTTGTTTCAATGTATGAGGACATCTACAAATGTTTAGTTTCCGGCTGTTAGTTTTTCTGTTGTTTTTTTGGTGGCACTGATGGCACACATATAACTCAATGCACACACTCAATCACTAGTCCTTTTTATTCATCCCAAACCAGCACCCACTTTAAACTAAGAAATCATGTCATAATTATAAAAAATGCCTAATTAAACTGAGATTACGACCACTGGTTAAGCAGCTTCGCCATTAGCAGGTTGACATGATACACCTGTACTATTGCTGACTGCTGTCTACAGAACGATCCCACTCACTCTGTTGATTTTAAGCTCAAACTTTTATAATACATTTCAAAATTACTTAGATTCTTAAACTCATATCAGATGCTCTTGTTGTTAGACGATAAAACTATCAGTCCTTTGATTTTGTAATTTGTTTTTTCGTGCACAAGTAGGTTTATTTCATATCTACATGGACATGTATGTCACCGGTAAGTGAGTGAGTGTGGATGCTTTAAGGCCGCTTTTAGCAATATTCCTGCAATATCACGGCGGGGGACACCAGAAATGGGCTTCACACATTGTACCTATGTCGGGAATCAAACCCGGGTCCTCGGCGTGACGAGCGAACGTTTTAACCACTAGGCTACCCTACAGCCCCATGTCTGTTCCCAAACTCTTATATTAACTTGTAATGCTTTTTTTAATGTGTACGTGTAAACGTAAAAAATCTACAACACTACCTGGTTCCTCCCACAGGAAACTGCCACGCCTGGATATAACTGAAATGTCTTCAAAGAAAACACAGTGCAAACTTGACACATTTCAGCATTTCAATGAAATATCTCTCCACTTGTCTGTTCCCTGGGGAAGATCAAATACCACTTAAACATTCATGCAGTTTCTTCGTTTCATATTACATACTGTTCATTGCGATTCCCCTCCTCTAAGCGATACGACAGGTAAAGGTGGGGCAGAAAAGTTTGTAAGCCTGAAAACAAAATTCATTTTGGAAGAAGGAACACTGAGTTGAGACATTTGAGAATTACTTTTCAATAAAGTGTCCGCAGTAATAATGAGTTCTGTTTTTGTTTTAAATGTAGTTATACAGTCAGTATTATTCCAGTTAGAACGCGCTCTGTAAATAATCGAGTCTGGGGCAGATAATCGAGTGGTTGATATGTGAGCATCGATCTACGCAATTGGAATACGATGACATGCATGGCCACCCGATGAGGCCTCATCTAATGACAAGCATGGGTTGCTGAAGACCAGTCTATCCCAGATCGTAGCGAGGGAATAAAACTGTTTCTTCACGGGTCCCATGTTAGACTATGTCTCACCGAGGTAAACCACATCATCCATATATTGCACAAGCCAACAATGAGTGAAGGTTCATGTTTTATTGTCAAACAGTATAATGCATAATATTGACAGAGGCAACAAACGTAAGTATACACATAGAATACAACAGCATATTTAAATGTCATTGTTTTTTAAGTATCTTGTGTAATGTATTCTCACTATAACCTGTCGTAAGGTTTTTCAGTTGTTAGTTGTGTAAGTCCACTTAGTGCAGCTATATGACGACAATCATTACACAATGGAGTCTGAACTAGACAGTCCAGTGACTTACCTCTTGCTCATTGTTCCAATTAGGATACGATGACACTCAATCCACAAGTCACTGAGCCTGAACACACTATACATATTGTCACCTCTTAGGGTAAGGTAAGCACAGGTTGGCCGTCTACTGCATTCTTACAAGTACATGTGATATTTGGGTGCTGGAGTTAGGTTAGGTGAACACTTGACTTGCCTTTGCATGTGTTTGTGATGGATGCCAGACAGTTGTATTTTCTCATGTCATCACTATTTGAGTGAGTGAGTGAGTGAGTATGGTTTTACGCCGCTTTTAGCAATATTCCAGCAATATCACAGCAGGGGACACCAGAAATGGGCTTCACACATTGTACCCATGTCGGGAATCGAACCCGGGTCTTCGGCGTGACGATCGAACGCTTTAACCACTAGGCTACCCGACCGTGCCTCACTATTTGAGAGTGATTCATAACTCAAAATGTCGACCCACCGAATAATCAGTTTTGATTGTCTGCTAAAACAGATTCCATTGGGCCTAAAAAGGCTAAACAGTTGTGAAAATCCTATGCAAAGATTATTGAAAATCAGTGATGACATCAGGTGCTCCAAAAAAGATATGTATGTCCTGCACAACCAGAAGCAAAAACACATACTTGAGATAGCCGGCATCGTGTAACAGATTTTTTTATGAATAGGGAAAGGGTTTTGTCGTTCTTATGTACATGCAGCATTTTGCAATATATATCACATCAGGGAGCATCTAGGATTAGCTTCAAGCAGAGTACCATCCGAGAATCCAAGGTGGGTTGACTCATAACAAGCTAATCCTCAACAACTGGTATACCCCATCACTGGACCTGGACAAGCCTGACAAAATATTTTGTGGTTTTGTCATTTTTACAATTGAACACCACGTAACACGTCTCATATGATGGAATAAAAAAACAAACAAAAAAACAATTATGTCTTATTTGATTAAACAACAACCCACAAAAAATTGAAAATGCCAAAAAATTGAAAAAACAACAATATCTTAACTATCCTATAGCTTTGTCAAGAGGAAGAACCTATGGAGGTGCGGAGGTAAGCATACATAGATTGCTTTTGCTATGTATGCAAATACACTTGAGAACAAGAGTATGATCAACTTGTGAAATTAATGAATACATTCTGATGAAAAAAACCAAACATGAACAGCAATATCCATGATGACATTTTGTACAGGGAAAAGCTGAATTTGGTATGTATGACATTTTGTAAAAGAGAAAGACAACCAATAATTACCTGAAACAGTTCTTAGAAAAGCTGTCAATACTCCTATTTCTTATTTTCACAAAGTTAATTCTAAGCTTTGTGTAATAATTATTGAAATGGATCCTTCTGCATGAAGTTTTAACAATCCTTAACAAAAATGAATCATGAATATGATATCAGTATCATTCTCGAGTGTCAAATCAAAGAGTTTCAAAATGCAAAATCAAACAGAATATCATGAAATATGTGTTGAATTCAAACCTCACAAGCAGGGGGCCATAATCGTTGTGAATCTGGGATTCGAACCTATGACTGTCATGGCAAGGCTAAAGGATGACCTTGTAAGAACACTTGGTCACTCTTGCACTTATAATGGCTGTAAGTTGACAAATGTTTATGAAATATATGTATATAAAGGAAGCATACTATTACAGCATATATATCTGTAGGAACCACTTCATAACAGCAGGGTACAAACAAATGCATGCAGCCTATTTGTTCAGAAACAAAAACACTGTCCTGCGGTGAAGAGTCAGTAAGTGTATACATACAGGTCTATCTATGCACTGCACAGATAACCGTAAGTGTCCATTGTCTACGTAACCCTCTGTTGTTTACAGAACCATCGTTCATTGTATATGTAACCATCGTTCATTGTATATGTAACCATTGTTCATTGTACACATGACCAACCTTCATTGTATAGGAAAATCCATTGTATATGTAAATCCATTGTATACGTAAATCCATTGTATACATAACTATCCATTGTATACATAACTATCCATTGTACACCTAACCATCTGTTGTGTACATACCAACCTTCATTGTATACGTAAATCCATTGTATATGTAAATCCATTGTATACGTAAATCCATTGTATACATAACTATCCATTGTACACCTAACCATCTGTTGTCTACATACCATCGAATATTGTAAACATAACCATCCGTTGTCTACATACCAATCTGTTGTCTACATATCCATCCGTTGTCTACATATCCATCCGTTGTCTACATACCCATCCGTTGTCTACATACCCATCCGTTGTCTACATACCCATCCATTGTCTACATACCATCGTTTATTGTATACGTAACCATCTCTTGTACGCATGACCATCCATTATCTACATACCATCATCCATTGTATACATAACCATCTATTGTGTACGTAACAATCTATTGTCAGCATAACTAATGGTTGTCTACATAACCACCCACAGCATGCACACCCATCCATTATATGTATAGCCGTCTGTTGTACACAGCACTGCCAGTAGCACACAACCACCCATTGTCTAGATTACCATTCAGTGTATACATGCAATATAAATATATATATGCAATAATAAATATATCAACAGGGTCATGAAATCTTAAAGTCAACAAAAGACCATTCCCCTAGTGTAAACAACACACACAAGAGGCACATCAAGATAGATTCTTTACAATTTGCATTGATTGCATTGCACAGAGCCTACAACAAACCCTGAGTATATCACAAGATCACAGGTACAAATGTAGAAATAGCATTTAGTCCTCATGGTGTTGATTAGATTTTTTAAAATTTTAAGTGAGTGAGTGAGTGAGTTGGGTTTAACGCCGCTTTTAACAGTATTCCGGCTATATCACTGCGTGCCAGCTTAATGTGGGAGGAAAGCCCGAAGTGATGCAGGTCTCAGACGTTTACCACTTCAGTGAAACCCACGAGCACGGGTATGGTGCTGACAAACCTAGAAACATTATCGGGGCGAACCGGGATTCGAACCCACAATCATAGGTTTCTGGCGTGCCCAAGGGACGCAACTCTGCACAGCGAATCGCGGCGCCTTAGACGACTGGGCCACCCGTGTCCCCCTTAAAATTTTAAGGCCAGGCCTGTCTTTTTTTAAATCTAACCCAGCCGACTCAAAAAAATATGATATGTTAAAAAAAAGTAATATTGAAAAGAAGTGTTTGTTCTACTACTCCAAATAGAAAAAAAGTAAAATGTAAATCCTCATTAACTGTCGCTATCGACATAAATAAATTATTGAAAGTACCACAATAAAAACAAGTTGAAAATTTATTTTAACAACTAAAAAACACAACAAATTATTATGAAAATATTTCAAAACTGTTTTTTGTATTTTTCATATTATTGTACCAACCAACCTGATTGTTTGGGCAAACAATCAATAACATCCCAACCCCACCCAAATGTCTGGCCTAAAGTCTCAATCAGTGGTCAGTAGGAGTTAAAATGTCAGTATCAAATGTATTTCATGTCTTTTTCCAGAAGGGTTAGAGCACACATAGATGTCTTTCTCTAATTGTGCCCATAGGGTTCAAAATTGTGCCCACTTGCACAAAGCGATCTTAGCGCTACAACTATTGTAAGCCTATGTTAAAGCATGGGAGATACGATCGTCTTTGCACTGAGATCACTTTGTGCAAGTGGGCCCTGGTGTTTTGTCTGGCTCCCCAAAAAATTTGAAAATTTGAAAAATAGAAATAAAGACTTGATGAACACTTATTCTGCTACACACAAACCTTTGAAGGTAAGATAAAAAAATTACCTTTTATAAAGATTTCTTAAGATATATATTTCTGCACTCAAAATGTAACCATTTTCCCCAGAAATTTTAATACAAATTCAATATTTTTTCATTAACATTTTTTAATCTCTTGCACTTAGACATTTCAGGTTTGCTTTGACATGTCCACTTAATGTAGTCACAATACAATGAAAACATTTAAAAGTGAGAATTATTTACTCCATATTTGGTTACATAAGAGGATTCATATTTTGTATGTTTGAATCTCATGTTAAATATCTGGGCATCATTCAATTGCAAAATTTGATAGAAAAGCTTCAAAAAAAATAAAAATTGAGTATTGATTGACAAGACAAATTCTACGATTTTTCTGCAATTCTGTGGCAACATTTTCTGCAAATCACAGAATTCATCTAGGACTGGATTAGAATTCCATAAGTATTTCCTTTAGAAACCAAAGATGAAGAAACTTTTTCCAAAAATGTGTTGAAGAATAAATAGACTTGCACAATGATCACAAAACCATTTTATTGTTGCTTCATGTGTGAATGTAAACTCATGTGTTGAACATACATTGATTCCATTATGATGATGTTATGGTTAGGCTTTGATATGTTAGTAAATTATGCATCATAAAACACTGTACAAATGGAGCCGACACAACCATCTGTCACAAACATCACCTCACACAGACACAGACAGAGACACACACACACACACAGACACACAGACACACACACACTACCTTTCTCCCTACTGGAATGGTATGTACAATATTGATCTGTGGCATAATTTGCAGAGTCATCAATTTAGCTACATCATCCCCAATTTCTATATACAAAACGTAAACTTGTTGAATCATAAAAGGCCAAACTTTACCTGCATTCAAGAAATGGTACGCTTAAATAAATAACAAAACAGTAACTATAAAAAACTAGAGCAGGTTCTTTCCCAAGAATAGAACATGGCTCACATACAATTCTAAAACTTGATACTTATTCAGGAAATGTTTCTAGAATTTTATTTATCAAATCAAATCAAAACAATTGCCACCAGTGTCAAGCCTGTGCTCATTCTTTCTATTCTGGTTGATGAAGCCAAAGTGATGACCAAAAATGGATACAAAACAAAATCAAGTTTCGTCCAACTTGTTACATTCCCAGTGGATGCTGCTGAAAGAGACCGCCATTTCCAACAACATCTTGTGAGATCTGCGCCAAACTGTCAAAGTTCTGCCTTGACTGCTTGTTATTGCAAGCAGCCAAATTGGTTGTGATTCTTTCTGCAGCCTGCAACAAAAAATATATGGGAATGAAACTCTGACATTGCATGACAACGTGCATATTTATAACGTGCCAAGTCCACACTGTATTGTATGTTCAAAGCGCTACATTATCTCCCCAGTAAACGGATCAACGTGCACTCAATTTTTTATTCTCAGCTCCCTGGGGAATGAATATACCACACGCTGCCTATTGGGTGCTAGAAGGTTAACTGTCACATTTATATCTCATCCTATCGGGTACCCATTCTCTGCTGGGTAAACAGAGGAATGTTTCGAACAAAGTTACTTACCTAAGGTGAGCGAGTGAGTGAGTGAGTGAGTGAGTGAGTGAGTGAGTGAGTGAGTGAGAGAGTGAGCATTGTTTTATGCTGCTTTTAGCAATATTCCAGAAACACCATTAAAATGGGCTTCACACATTGTGCCCATGGGGGGAATCAAACCCAGGTCTTCAGCGAGACAAGCAAACGCTTCAACCTCGAGGCTACCCCACCGCCCCCACTTTCCTAAGGAGACACCACATGTGCATCAGTGTGGGGTATGAAACTCTCAGGAGTCAAGCTGCCAAACCCGGTCATCCATCCAACTGATCCCCAATGATGTCCTGTGCCCTGTGCACAGAACCACTGGCATACCAAGTTAGCAAACACGCTGACCACTAAGGTACCTTATCAACCCGTAAATGTGCTCTCATAAGGTTAGTGAGAATGGTCTTGAAAGTATAAAATGCTCTGGTTGTCTATGCCTGTATCAGGCATGCAGTTCTGTTGTCCCACTCTCAATGATTTGGTTGGTTTGTCGGTTGTGTAACAGTGCACAGGGGAATATTCCAGCATCATCAACATCGATCCACGCAAGTGGGATCGATGACATGTATCAACCAAGTCAGCGAGCCTGACCACCCAATCCTGTTAGTCGCCTCTTATGACAAGCATGGGTTGCTGAACACCAATTCTAACCCGGACCTTCAGTGTCTTTCAAAAGGGCAGGATCCTGCCTTTGGGTCTAGCTGCCTCTTCTCATCATACCACAGGAAGAATTAGACTGAAGGCTCACTTTTCAAGATCACCTTTAACGTGTGATGTATACTAATCTCAGACACATCAGTCAAGCTCAATCTTTGATGATTCAATAATAATGACAACTTTTTCTCAGAACACAAAACGAATTTGAGCAATGATAGCTGGAATTTTATGAAATATTTTGGTTTTATAGTTCTAGCCCACTGCAACATCATGCCATTGTTTTAACATGGATACCCCACTCAGACACAGTTTTATCCCTTTTGATGACAATCACTTGGCAGGGTAACAACAAGTACCATCTGTTAACATCCTTTGGTAGGACAGAACCAGATCGAACCACGACCTTCAGTCTGTCAGACGCTCTGTCCACTACACCACAGCTGGTCGGCCTAAGTGTGAGGAGTAGAACAATCTACATAACCTGTTTGTTCGGCAATAATTGAACCAGAAAAACTTCAAGCCTTACCTCGTCACAGAAGACATTCACTATAAGTTTCTCGTGTTGGGCGGACTGGTGATGTTGGTTGATGCTCCGTGAGGCGCGGGACAGGGATGATACCATGCCATAGATGTCAATGGCAGAGTCGGCAATCCTCTTGAGGACGAACTGTTCATCTGGAACAATTCATAACAAGAATTTATGGTCTGTCTATATTTCAATGATGCACTCTGCAATATTCCAGTTATATGACGGTGGTCTGAAAATAATCAAGTAATTGACATCATGAGCATTGATCTATGCAATTGGGATCTGATGACAAGCATTGTCTGACCACCGGATCCCGCTAGTCGCCTCTTACAACAAGCATGGTTGCTGAAATCCAATTCTAACACGGATCTTCACTGGGTGAATCTGTAACTGATCCTTTGAAATGTTTGTATGACACAGAATAGCACCTTGTCATCCCCCACGTCTCAAGCATACAAACTCCATACCTATGATTTGTTTGTTGAATTTAATGAGCACATCTTCCACTGTTCCTCCAAACTCCTCGATCGCTTTGGCAGTCTGCAAATATAGACGTACATGAAATGCATTCAAAGAAGCATATTTCCTAATAACTTGGTAGAAGCCTCCAAAATAAACCAGCGATTGATGTCCATTTAGTCACCCTGTTTGTAGGTTGCTTGTGATGCGCAACAGGAGCAAGAACAATGGTTATGGTCACTCACATCATACAACATATTGCTGCTTCCGGCACAGAAGTTTTGAGATGTGGCAGCTGTGTCTGTATTGTCATGGTAACAGCAGCCACTGCATCTTGTATTGTCATGGTTACAGCAGCCACTGCATCTTGTATTGTCAGTGTAACAGTAGCCACTGCATCTTGTATTGTCAGTGTAACAGTAGCCACTGCATCTTGTATTGTCATTGTTACAGTAGCCACTGCATCTTGTATTGTCAGTGTAACAGTAGCCACTGCATCTTGTATTATCAGTGTAACAGTAGCCACTGCATCTTGTATTGTCAGTGTAACAGTAGCCACTGTATCTTGTATTGTCAGTGTAACAGTAGCCACTGTATCTTGAATTGTCATTGTTACAGTAGCCACTGCATCTTGTATTGTCATGGTTACAGTAGCCACTGCATCTTGTATTGTCATTGTTACAGTAGCCACTGCATCTTGTATTGTCAGTGTTACAGTAGCCACTGCATCTTGTATTGTCATTGTTACAGTAGCCACTGCATCTTGTATTGTCAGTGTAACAGTAGCCACTGCATCTTGTATTGTCATGATAACAGCAGCCACTGCATCTTGTATTGTCAGTGTAACAGTAGCCACTGCATCTTGTATTGTCAGTGTAACAGTAGCCACTGCATCTTGCATTGTCAGTGTAACAGTAGCCACTGCATCTTGCATTGTCATGGTTACAGTAGCCACTGCATCTTGTATTGTCATGGTAACAGTAGCCACTGCATCTAGTATTGTCATGGTTACAGTAGCCACTGCATCTTGTATTGTCATGGTAACAGTAGCCACTGCATCTTGTATTGTCATGGTTACAGTAGCCACTGCAAGGTTCATTCAGATATGAAACACTACAATTTCAGGGTTTTCAAGGCTGCCAACTGTCATTGTCAAGGCTTTTTTAGTTGGGTTATTAGCCTTAGTCTGTCAATAATTTATGAAATCCAGCATACTATATAGAAGTTGTAAGGCCTTAAGGGAAAGGCAGCATGACCATCACACATTTTCCAACATGATTATTTTTTAACCAACAGAAACATGTTTCAATTATGTCTGTCATGAATTCTTCAGGGTCTTTGGCACACAAATCTTTCACATATTTTGTGTGCTTTAATACTTTAATTGACAAGCATATGTGAATACATACACATTCAAGGCTTTTGAAGCTAATTTGGTGATTTTCAAGGCTTTTTAAAGTTGACACTACAAATCAGGACTTTTCAACAGGGACCTTCAAATTAAAGGATTTTTCAAGCCTGTACAAACACTGCACTGTGTCTTGAGTTGTCATGGTAACTGTAGCCACCGTGTTCTGTATTGTAATCATGACAGTAGCAGCTCAGTATGTACAATCATGCAGCATGTTACAACAATCTGACTCATGACTCACCTTACTGCCTGCGTCCTGCAGGTCGGGGTGGACAAACTGACTCAGTGACTGCCCAGAGCTCATGCCAACCATTCTGTAGGAGGATGAAAAATAATTCTCTTAAATCATGTATAATATTTCAAATAGTTTTTGTAATTTGTTGCTTTATGCCACAGTCAGCAATGTTCCAGTGGTATCATGGGGGCCTAACTAACCAGGTCTGGACTGAAAGAATGGTGCACGATGACGAGCAATCAGCAAGCCACAGAGCTTGACACTGGATCAACGTCTCATGTCCTTGGGGGACGAAGACATGCATTCAGCAAGCCACAGAGCTTGACACTGGATCAACGTCCCATGTCCTTGTGGGACAATGACAAGCATTCAGCAAGCCACAGAGTTTGACACCAGATCAACTTCAGATGCTTCTTACAATAGGGACCAGGTTCACCCAAGCATTGTTCCAGTGGCTAAACAAACAAGCCCGGCCACCCTATCAATCTCAACTTGCCGTACATGGCAATCTCACTGAGGAAAAGAGTTTCATGCCTCTTTGAGCTTTTAATTTTATTCTTGAATTTGAAGTCATTAAATCAGATGTTTCATCCATTGTCAAACATCTCTTTATGCAGATTGACAAACACTCCATGAGGTCACATCAGGAAAATCCTGAGCGAACGTTGACCCTCCAACAACAAGAGTCATCAGAAAGATGACATATCCCCCCGGCAGCTGTCTGTAAAGTAACCACTAGTAAATGTGCAATTCTGTATGCAATGAGTCAACAGTTGAATGTTCTTTAAGAAGCATACATTGTTTACCCACTGAATGGTTTTCGAATTCTGGCCCGGAAATGAACCCGTTCCCCAATGGAGTCTAGGTCCAATTTCTTTCCATAAAAATTGTAAAAAATAAAAAATCGTAAAAAAATAATATCAAAAGGCACCACTTTGATATGTGCCTGATAGCTTTGCCAAGTTTCAATCAAATACACTGAATGGTTTTGGAATTCTACCCCGAAACGAACCCCATCCCCAATTGAGTCTATGTCCAACTTCATTCCATAAAAATTTAAAAAAATAAAATTAGAAAAATCCCAAAATATCAAAATGCACCACTTCAGTATGTGCCTGATGGATTTGCTAAGTTTCGATCAAATATACTGAATGGTTTTTGAATTCTGCCCCGGAAAAGGAAATGGTTACGGACTGACGGACAGACTGGCTGATCGCTATATCCCCCCGCATTATATGCCGGGGAGATAAAAATGAAATGAAAGATGCATCAGTGTTAAGCCTATCGGATGTCAGCTTCCTTTAGTCATTTGGCTGCACTATATTCTTAATTTAGTCATTTAGACATTACAGTCTGAACAATAGAAATCCAACACTCAAAGTCAACGACAGGTATGGAATTTAACCAAAAATGTCAACTAGACCGAATAGTGATAATACATAGCAAAAGCCCCCAAAATGTTTGAAATTCCACTAGACACCTTCACACATCAACAATACTAATTTCCATCCCTGACTGTACAAGCCAGCTTAATGGAGGCACCCTGCTTTGAACAGTATTGTAATCATTTCGCAGCTGCACAAGGGAGTTAACTGACTGTAAAAGTGCAGTTCCCTCCCTTGCCGAACTAGGATGGACGAGCAGGTAATATTCTGGCTGGACCAACTAGTCCCTGCATGGTCCAATCAAAAATCGCGTAACAAACCTGACATCCCGCATGCAAACAAGATGGCAGCTGCCATGCAGATTTCTATTGACTGCAGGATTAGTAAAGCACGTGTCGACAGACTGGGTGTCGACAGACATTTTCCAAAACCTTTCATGTTATCAATCATCTTGCTCAAGTGTTGTCTTCCAGTCCACACGCTGATGACTTTTGCCTCTGGTGTCTTGTATATGTTTGATAGGGATTTCTGAATGTTACCATGGTAACATCTTACCTCTTGGCTCTCTTGGACCCCATGTTGAAAAGTACCCCGACATTGGCTGCTGGATTCTTCAGTGCTTTCTGTACCTCCTTCAGCTGACCTCCGGCATACTGAAGGTCAAGGTTCAAAGGTCATAATTCACTCAACTGACATCAAGGGCAATCAGGCAATCACAACAGCCACCTCTTTAAGTGGCAATTCAAGGGACCTGCCAGTACAGAATTCCACGGATCGACCTTTTTCTACTTTTAGGAATTCAACAAATACACATTTGTTGGTCTTACTTTTCAGTAATTCTACATCCTTTGGAGTGAGTGAGTGAGTTGAGTTTAACGCCGCTTTTAACAGTTTTCCAGTTATATCACGGCGTGTCAGCTTAATGTGGGAGGAAAGCCCGAAGTGATGCAGGTCTCAGACGTTTACCACTTCGGGGCGAACCGGGATTCGAACCCACAATCATAGGTTTCTGGCGTGCCCAAGGGACGCAACTCTGCACAGCGAATCGCGGCGCCTTAGACAACTGGGCCACCCGTGCCCCCCTACATCCTTTGGTCTGCTATTCAGGATTCTACAAATACACTTCTGTTGGTCTATTTTTCAGGACTTCTAATAATCCACCTTTGTTGGTCTACTATTCAAGATTGCTACCAATACACTTCTGTAGGTCTTCCATTCAGGAATTCTACCTATCAATCTTAGATGATCTACGCATCTTGAAAGCCCCTGATCGAAAGTGTGATTCCACCGAGTCAAATTATCTCAGAGCCATCAGCACTTATGGAAAAATAGAGCTAGGTGGTCTTATGGAAAAATAACACTTAATGCCTACAGCTAATATTTATCAGGATAACTTCCATTGACCAGTCAGGTCAAGTTGTTACTGCAGCAAAGCACATCATGTCCGTCTCACAGCTGTGAGGATAGGGCTGGGGGACCCTCACCTGAATTCCTGTCAATGCTACGAAGAGACGCAGGATGTCATTAGTTCCCTCGAAGATGCGGAAGATACGAAGGTCTCTCATCACTCTCTCCAAACCAGTGTCCTGAAACACGAGTGAGTTTCTAAGAAAATGGGTCATGGACCTGCTCATAATCTAAGTTTTCATGTGAATTTGTAATATTGTCTCTTTAACTCATTTAAGCCATACTTGCATAATCAAAACTAGCAGGTGTAGGAATAAAAGGTGGATTGTGGTCTGTCAGTTTGCAATAAACCTATTCACAATTTCAAGGATTTCTTGTAATAAAATCAATTATTGTGGCTTACAGATGGCCGTTTCAAACTAGAGGTGATCATGATGACTGTTTTCTTACCCTCATGAAACCCATTCCTCCCAAGATTTGTATAGCTTCATCTGCACAGAACCAAGCTGCTTCCTGAAACAGTTGTCATGGTTACAAAGACTGTGACTGGCATTGAAGGCTGAGTATTCTTGAGTATCAGGGGCCAATCAGAAGCTCGTGACATAAGTGCCCTGCGTGACCTGAGACAGTGTTGTGTAAAGTCACACTCAACATTATTCCATTTATATGATTGGTTGTTTGTTTGTTTGTTGTTTAACGCCGCATTCAACAATATTCGAGCGGTCTATAAATAATCGAGTCTTAACCAGACAATCCAGTGATTGTCATCATGAGCATCAATCCACGCAATTGGGATACGACGACATGCATCAACAAGTCAGCAAGCATAACCATCCGATCCTGGAAGTCGCCTACGACAAGCACGGGTTGCTGAAGACCTATTCTGTCCCGGATCTTCACGGGTCTCCAGATGTATGACTCAAGCCTGTAAATAACTCAGTCCGGAGCAGTAAACTCCAGTGACTGATATTGTGAGCAACAATCCCTGTCATTGGAGTAGATGGTGGAGACTTAGTTAAGTGTCATCCATGTCCTAATCATAGGTTGCTGGGGCATTTTGACCCCACACAATTTAAATTTTTGTTCAAAGCTTTTTGGCTGAGTGAAAACTGATTGGATATGTTACTACCAGTGCAGACAGAGAGAAGGTATACGTACAGAGGCATATATCTTGCTGATAGCCGCCTCAATCTGAAACTCTGTGGAGCCCTGGTCCATGTTTGCAGAAACCATGTATGCCATTGACTGTTGAACAAACAAATGTACACAAGGATGTCATTGTATGTCAAATATTAATGTTGATACAGTATCGATACAAATTTATGAATATTAATTCACTGCCAAACAAAATGTTTACATTTGTTAAAATTACCATGGTAATCACAGGAAACTGTTACACCCATAACGTAAGGCTGTAGTGTTAGATCTGTAGTGTTAGATTCATTGTCTTAGGTCTGTAGTGTTAGACCCGTAGTGTTAGATCCACAGCATTAGATTCATAGTCTTAGATTAGGAGTGTTAGATTCATATTCATAGATCTGTAGTGTTAGACCAGTAGTATTAGATCCATAGTGTTAGATCTGCAGTGCTAAATTCATTGTCTTTGGTCTGTAGTGTTAGACCCGTAGTGTTTGATCCATAGTGTTAGATTCGTAGTGTTAGATCTGTAGTGTTAGATCCGTAGTGTTAGATCTGTAGTGTTAGATCCGTAGTGTTAGATCTGTAGTGTTAGATCCATAGTGTTAGATCTGTAGTGTTAGATCTGTAGTGTTAGATCCATAGTGTTAGATCTGTAGTGTTAGATCCGTAGTGCTAGATCTGTAGTGTTAGATCCGTAGTGTTAGATCTGTAGTGTTAGATCCGTAGTGTTAGATCTGTAGTGTTAGATCCATAGTGTTAGATCTGTAGTGTTAGATCCGTAGTGTTAGATCTGTAGTGTTAGATCCGTAGTGTTAGATCTGTAGTGTTAGATCCATAGTGTCTGGGTAAAGTCAAATGTCCTTGTAATGTTAAAACATTGAAAATCAGGAAAGCCGAAAGGAATTTGTACTAGCTCCAGGCTTGCAGGCTAGTGTGAATTGTCAGACCCGTAGTGTTAGTCCCGTAGTGTTAGACCGTAGTACAAGTAGATACCATCAGATCCTACCGGGTATCCATTCGCAAGTCTTACCTCGGTGACATACTGCATCATGGTCATGCGGGCAATCTTCTCCTGGATAGCTCCATAGGAGTCGATCCTCTTGCCAAACTGAGTTCTCTGAGAGGCATGCTCCACCTGTAAACAGCAGACAGAGGTGAGCTGACTTGAGGTGAGAGTGAGTCAACAGTATTCTGGTTATATCACGGCTTTGTCAGCTTAATGAAGCAGGAAATCCAGAATTGAAGCAGGTCGTACATGTTTACAAATTTGGTGAAAATTGCAGGCCTCACTTCATTCCGTTTGTAAAATCCCTTCAATGGTCACCAGCAATTCTGTTTTTTTTATATCTGCTAGCCGAAGCACAAGAAAATACCAGACACTAAAATAAACTAGAGCACAAGAAATACCAGGCACTAAAAATAAACTAGAGCACAAGAAATACCAGCCACTAACATAAACTAGAGCACAAGAAATACCAGACGCTAAAATAAACTAGAGCAGAAGAAAATACCAGACACTAAAATAAAGTAGAGCACAAGAAATACCAGACACTAAAATAAACTAGAGCCCAAGAAAATACCAGACACTAAAATATACTTGAGCACAAGAAATACCAGACACTAAAATAAACTAGAGCACAAGAAAATACCAGACACTAAAATAAACTAGAGCACAAGAAATACCAGACACTAAAATAAACTTGAGCACAAGAAAATACCAGACACTAAAATAAACTAGAGCACAAGAAATACCAGACACTAAAATAAACTAGAGCCCAAGAAAATACCAGACACTAACATAAACTAGAGCCCAAGAAATACCAGACACTAAAATATACTTGAGCACAAGAAAATACCAGACACTAAAATAAACTAGAGCACAAGAAAATACCAGACACTAAAATAAACTAGAGCACAAGAAATACCAGACACTAAAATAAACTTGAGCACAAGAAAATACCAGACACTAAAATAAACAAGAGTACAAGAAATACCAGACACTAAAATAAACAAGAGCACAAGAAATACCAGACACTAAAATAAACTAGAGCACAAGAAAATACCAGACACTAAAATAAACTAGAGCACAAGAAAATACCAGACACTAAAATAAACTAGAGCACAAGAAATACCAGACACTAAAATAAACTAGAGCACAAGAAATACCAGACACTAAAATAAACAAGAGCACAAGAAATACCAGACACTAAAATAAACTTGAGCACAAGAAAATACCAGACACTAAAATAAACTAGAGCACAAGAAATACCAGACACTAAAATAAACTAGAGCCCAAGAAAATACCAGACACTAACATAAACTAGAGCCCAAGAAATACCAGACACTAAAATATACTTGAGCACAAGAAAATACCAGACACTAAAATAAACTAGAGCACAAGAAAATACCAGACACTAAAATAAACTAGAGCACAAGAAATACCAGACACTAAAATAAACTTGAGCACAAGAAAATACCAGACACTAAAATAAACAAGAGTACAAGAAATACCAGACACTAAAATAAACAAGAGCACAAGAAATACCAGACACTAAAATAAACTTGAGCACAAGAAAATACCAGACACTAAAATAAACCTCACCCATGCTTGTCAAATAGATTATGTTTCACAAAAACAGATATAATTGTGACATGGCCTGCTTGCTTCCTGTGATATGGAATCCTGTCACATAGATGCTGTTGTATTACGTTTATGTCAGCAATATTGATGCCACATTGTCTGTGCTGAAGACTGGTAAGGCTTCCAATGAAAGCAAAGCAACCAATGACTGAAGTCACTTTCATAACACATCACAGCGTTTGTATTGTCACCGTGACACATTGACAACATTTAGGCAAACTGAAAGAAAGTTTTGTTTGTTTGTCTTTTGTCTACCGTTGCATTCATCACTATTCCAACAACATGGAAATGACGGTGGCAGTGCTCAAGACAGGTGCCTGCCCATAGGCCAGCAGCCAGAAGATCCTCTGTCGGGCCGTAGTTTCAAAGTTGTATGGAGCCTTGTGGCCAGCAGATAGATCCATTTTTTAAAATGTTCTTTTAGTTGTTTTTTTTATGACAAATATGTACAAACAGTCCCTCAAAGTACTTCACAACTTTTCATTAATTTCTACAGCTAGCGCAATTCCTTCTTGTTGACATTTCATATAACCAGTCTATAACATAAGCTCCTTTCAGTGTGCGATGTGTCTACCTACTAGTAACAATCTCAGAATGTGTCGCGCCAAGTTCGTCACAAATCAGCACATGGTAATACGTGGAGTAAGTGAGTTATGTTTAACGCCGCTTTTAACACTATTCCAGTTACATCATGGCCCATCAGCTTAATGTGGGAGGAAAGCCCGAAGTGATGCAGGTCTTAGACTGAAGAACTGAAGATATTTTGTGGAAACAAAAGCAGTATGACAAGCACTGAATGACAAAAAAAACATTTCAGAGAAAATGGGGTGGTGAATTACGTTTGTGCCTGCTGTTTGACAGTAAATGCATGTTTTCTAAAACACTTACTTAGAGTGCATGAAATTAAGCTATCACTGACATTTTGGACATCATGTTTAATGTATCAAGTAACCAAATGTTCTGGAATTGTATTTGTGTTCTTTAGTATAAATTTAAAGAATTTTTGGTTTCATTCAACTTTGACTCAAATATTGAAGGTCTGAAGAGTTTCTGAAGTCTGCGGGTCCTGAGTGAGTGAGTGAGTTGGGCTTAACGCCGCTTTTAACAGTATTCCAGTTATATCACGGCATGTCAGCTTAATGTGGGAGGAAAGCCCGAAGTGATGCAGGTTTCAGACGTTTACCACTTGGGTAAAACCCACGAGCATGGGTATGGTGCTGACAAACCTAGAAACATAATCGGGGAGAACCGGGATTCGAACCCACAATCATAGGTTTCTGGCGTGCCCAAGGGACGCAACTCTGCACAGCGAATCGCGGCGCCTTAGACGACTGGGCCCCCCGTGCCCCCCTGCGGGTCCTCATGGCAGCCTGGCAATTGGTTTGATTGTGAAGCAAATTGTATAAAGACACACCTTGCCTGACCAACCCACCTATTTTGGTCACATCTTTCTGGAAATCCCCATGGTGTCAAAGAATGTATTCTGTACGGTCAGATGATACCTACTTTCTCTCAGACACAAGGGAGGACATAGTCGCATTTTACGACAAGCATGGGTTACTAAAGACCTATTCTACCCAGGATCATCACAGGTCGGAAATCTATGATGCGAATGCAGTATCTCTACACCATGTGTGTACTCACCGCCTTGCGGATGCAGTATCTCTACAACATCTGTGTACTCACCGCCTTGTGGATGCAGTATCTCTACAACGTGTGTGTACTCACCGCCTTGTGGATGCAGTATCTCTACAACGTGTGTGTACTCACCGCCTTGTGGATGCAGTATCTCTACAACATGTGTGTACTCACCGCCTTGTGGATGCAGTATCTCTACAGCAAGTGTGTACTCACCGCCTTGTGGATGCAGTATCTCTACAACATGTGTGTACTCACCGCCTTGTGGATGCAGTATCTCTACAACATGTGTGTACTCACCACCTTGTGGATGCAGTATCTCTACAACGTGTGTGTACTCACCGCCTTGTGGATGCAGTATCTCTACAACATGTGTGTACTCACCGCCTTGTGGATGCAGTATCTCTACAACATGTGTGTACTCACCGCCTTGTGGATGCAGTATCTCTACAACATGTGTGTACTCACCGCCTTGTGGATGCAGTATCTCTACAACGTGTGTGTACTCACCGCCTTGTGGATGCAGTATCTCTACAACGTGTGTGTACTCACCGCCTTGTGGATGCAGTATCTCTACAACGTGTGTGTACTCACCGCCTTGTGGATGCAGTATCTCATGGTGCCAGAGAGAGCTGCAGCCATCCCAAACCGCCCGTTGTTCAGGATGTTCATGGCGACCTTGAACCCTCCACCTTCACCTGGCACATAAAGTTACAGACTCAGATACAGATTTGGACACAGATGCAGACACTGCTACAGATACACAGATACTGATTCGACACAGATTCAGATAGACAGACACAGATACTGATTCAGACACAGATTCAGATAGACACAGACACAGATACTGATTCAGACACAGATTCAGATAGACACAGACACAGATACTGATTCAGACACAGATTCAGATAGACACAGACACAGATACTGATTCGACGCAGATTCAGATTGAGACACATACTCAAGACTCATTTTTTTTTCTGACAAACCCACAGTCACAGACAGAGACATAGATACTGATAGACACAGATTCAGATAGACACAGACACAGATACTGATTCAGACACAGTTTCAGATTTAGATACAAACTCAAGACTCACTTATTAATCACAAACCCACCAAAGGTTAAACATGAACACTATTTACAATTAAGAGATGGTCGGCAGCTCCCCATCACAGCATCAGCTGTATGATGAAGCTGGTGTCTTGACCTACCTCCCAGGACACACTCGGCCGGGACCTTGACGTCCTCGAAGTACACCTCCGCCGTGTTGGAGGCCTTGATGCCCATCTTCTTCTCTGGGGGGCCACTGAAACAACCAAACATACATGCATGAGGGATCTCACTCACAGAACGTACATACATGCATGAGGGATCTCACTCACAGAACGTACATACATGCATGAGGGATCTCACTCACAGAGCATCTGACACTGAAACAACCAAACATGCATGCATGAGGGATCTCACTCTCAGAACGTACATACATGCATGAGGGATCTCACTCACAGAACGTACATACATGCATGAGGGATCTCACTCACAGAACGTACATACATGCAAGAGGGATCTCACTCACAGAACGTACATACATGCATGAGGGATCTCACTCACAGAACGTACATACATGCATGAGGGATCTCACTCACAGAGCATCTGACACTGAAACAAACGTACATACATGCACGAGGGATCTCATTCAAAACTATGGTTACACCCAAACTTGTGAGTACAACCGATTTCACGAAGAACCCTGGCAATTAAATGATGCATGAAAAGACAACTAGAAATGAAGCTCTTCAATCAACATAATCTTTAATTTCATAGGAACAAATCCTGAACAGCAAAAGGCATGTGACGTGATTACAAAGTTTCACAAAAACATATTGAACACTTTCTGCGTTAAACTCCGGAAATGACCCCTACCCTCATTTCAGCCTAAGACCAACCTTAACGCAAACAATACCAAAAGCACAAACTCTTGAAAACGCAAATACAAAAATCACAAACCCTTCAAAACGCAAACAACACCAAAAGCACAAACACTTGCAGCACTTGCCTGATGTGTATACAAAGTTGAAATATAGAAATGTTTGTGAGTAATGCTCTGGAAACAAAAATCAAGACAGACAGAGCATGTTTCTATTGTTGAGACTTACTTTGACACTCCACCAAAGCTCCTCTCCACGACGAATGCAGTGACCTTGTCCTTGGTAAGGCCTGTCTTAGGGTCTGTCACAGGAGTCTGAAGGAAAGGTGTATATCATTGAGGACACTGGAAAGTGCTGCAGAGTGAGTGAGTGAGTGAGTGAGTGAGTGAGTGAGTGAGTGAGGTTCAACGCTGCATCCAAGATGATTGCACTTGCATGCCTGTGTGTGTATGTGTCTGCTTGTACTAGTCCTGACTAATGCCAATTTTATAGTGCTAGCTCACTGAGATGCCATGCCACAGTTTAACATGAATACCCCACTCAGTATACTGACTCTGAGCCAACCAGTCTGTGTTTTAGCCCCTTAATGCCGAGTGCCAGGCAGGGTAACAACAAGTCCCATCACTTAACATCTTCTAATCTGACGCAGCCAGGTATAAACCCCTGACCTTCCGCTTTCCAGGCGGACGCTCTACCACTAGACCACTGAGGCAGTCTACAGAATGAGTGAGTGAGTGAGTGTTGTTTAATGCCGCAATCAGCAATGTCCAAGCGTATCACATCAGCACGTATATAGCCACGTCAGGATCAGTAAGTATGTGCAACAGTGAAAGGCAGAACGTTGTTTTATGTTGCAGTAAGCAATATCCCAGCTGCCTGTAAATAACCTGGTGGCTGATGTCATGAGCAATGTTGGGGGCCAATAGCACACCACGCCAATTCCACAGTGGGCCAATTCCACAGTGAGCCAATTCTACAGTGAGACAATTCTACAGTGAGCCAATTCTACAGTGGGCCAATTCTACAGTGGGCCAATTCTACAGTGGGCCAATTCTACAGTGAGACAATTCTACAGTGGGCCAATTCCACAGTGGGCCAATTCTACAGTGGGCCAATTCTACAGTGAGCCAATTCTACAGTGGGCCAATTCCACAGTGGGCCAATTCTACAGTGGGCCAATTCTACAGTGGGCCAATTCTACAGTGGGCCAATTCTACAGCATGTACAGTGGGCCAATTCCACAGTGAGCCAATTCTACAGTGGGCCAATTCCACAGTGAGACAATTCCACAGTGGGCCAATTCTACAGTGAGCCAATTCTACAGTGGGCCAATTCTACAGTGGGCCAATTCTACAGTGGGCCAATTCCACAGGTGCATGTGAATGTGTTACCTTGGTACATAGACACGTTGTCAGGTCATACCTTGTAACCACTCAAACCTCTGAGGACAATTACGATGTAAAACAAGAATACAGATATTGTCTACCTGGGCAAAGACAGTGAAGATTTCAGCCAGGCCACCGTTACTGATCCAGATTTTGCTGCCATTTAGAATATAGTGTTTGCCATCTGCAGAGGGCACTGCTCTCGTCTTGATGGACTGAAACAGCCAATGTACATGATGTAAGCAATCAATGTGGTATTCATGGTGCACTTCCATATATTTTGCTATTGACAACAACATCAATAAAAATAATTCTCAAAATCCACTATTATTACTCCGATCAATGGATCAGTGGTCACTTGATTTTCTTTCTCAGCTCCCTGGGGAGTATACAACATAAGACGCCTGTAAGGTGCAAAAAGGTCAACAGTCACATTACCATCTCATCCTACCAGGTATCCATTCACTGCTTGAAATAGTAACATTTGTCAAACAAAGGCACTAGCCTAAGGAGACACTACTTATGCTACATGTGCTACAGTGTGGGGCAGGATTGAAGCCCTAAAAACAAGAGTCAGTGGGCATCAATTTTAGCAGGATTAAGGATTATTATACAGACAATTACTTTCTGGGCTTACAAGATTAAAATCATTGTCAGATAACAGGCAGGTGGCAGACTGTAATGTTACCATGGATACTCACACTGGCATCGGATCCACTGGCCGGCTCCGTGAGACAGAAAGCTGCTACCGTCTCCCCGGACGCCAGCTTTGGCAGGTACTTCTTCTTCTGTTCTGGGTTGCCGAACAACAGAATACCTTTAAACCCAATAGACTGAAAACAACAGAGACAGTTGATGAACAAAGCTGTCATGGATACCAGCAGATCGAAAACAACAAAGACAGTAACTGTTGATAAACTAGGTTGTCATGGATACCAGAAAATTGAAAACAACAAAGACAGCTGTGGAACTAGGTTGTCATTGATACCAATAGATCAAAAACAACAAAGACAGTTGGTGAACTAGGTTGTCATGGATACCAGAATATTGAAAACAACAAAGACAGTTGTGGAACTAGGTTGTCATGGATACCAGAATATTGAAAACAACAGAGACAGTTGTGGAACTAGGTTGTCATGGATACCAGAAAATTGAAAACAAAGACAGTTGTGGAACTAGGTTGTCATGGATACCAGAAAGTTGAAAACAAAGACAGTTGATGTAAAACTAGGTAGTCATGGCTACCACATACAGCGGGCTGCTCATATGGCATAGGGTTACATCTACGCACAGAAATATTTCATCCTCAAAGTTTACGCCACAAAGTACATCTCGTGGCAGCGCTTCACATTTTATGCAATTTTTACACTTTTATTTAAATCATCATCTCATTGATGAAGCAAACCAGTCAGACAAAGATGAAATTTTTAACATGAAAAAAGAAACAAATTCCTGACCTGATGTGCCCCGAGGGTGATGCCGACGCCCAGGTCATGTGCTCCGACTATCTCGACCAGGCGGGCATACTGTGTGTTGCAGAGTCCAAGTCCACCTGAAACAGTGAGGGTCACCTAAAGATGCCATGTGTGATTGAGCCATTCAGGGCCAGGTAACAAGTACATAGGGCTGGCTAAAATGATCCATAATCAGAATTATCGTCGAAGGGAAGAATATTAACAATGATCGATATGAAAATTGTGTCATCGATAATATCTTACATAAACTATTGTGATGAAAAAAAGTTTACCACTGCCGAAGACGGAAAGCAACTGATTTTGTTATACCTTAAATGTTCAGAATGTAATCCATGCATAAATGTGTCACCGCTCAAAAGTGATGTGAAATATGATGTTTTGTGTCAGCTTTTTGCTGTGAAGTTCCACATGGGATCTCCAGGATGACTGCGTTGACAGACCAGCGCCCTGCTACCTAGCCCAAGAGTCAGGGCTTGTGCCGAAGTAAAAAGGCCGAAGATCTGTTGCTATTGTCGTAGCAGGTGCGGTTGTTTGATTGCTAGTGGTACGAGATGTTGAATCTTTGACTAAAGACATTTTGCCCAGGCAGGTGTTGAAGAAGGCACTGATAAACTGGAGTCATTGAGTGGGAGTCGTCTTGAATAGTCTGATGTGGACGAACCAACCAAGTTGATGGAGAGAACGTGTGAAATCAAGATGTAGAAGGAGGATGTCTGGATCTTTGTTGGCCTGAATGCAATCGTCGATGGAAAATTTGACGTGGGTTTGGTGATTTGGGTAAATAGCCAAGGGCCGAAGAAATTCCAAACGGGAGCACCTGCCATTGGTCGTGGCAGCGTTGGAAAATGAACCGTAGGAAATGGCAGTGCTCCCTATGGATGGGAATGTGCAGGTATGCCTCCTGCAGATCCAGACTATTGGTAGTGGTGGCTTCTTAGACTTCTTGGTAGTCGTCTTCTTAACCTTGGAGGTTTACTGTCTGAATCCTCTGTCGCCGACATTTGACAGGTAGATACTGAAGGATTCATCAGAGACAGACACAAAGGGGACATCATGGTGAAGAGCTGCAGCCACCCTGGCAGTCACAACACTTGTCATGCAGGTCGGAGCATTAAAAACTCTGTCTGCACATCAAACAAGCCAAGCAATGTGTTTTGGGTCGTCCATGATCTCTTGTTTGTGTAGAAACACTATGTGGTTGTAGGGTAGTGTGACCACAAAAAAATAATTTAAAAAATCAGCATTCTCTCACTAAAAAGCCTGTCAAAACTGTGGGGCGATTAGAAAGAGAATGAGGTGGCTGAGGAGATCATGTGTTCAGTGCACGTAGTTGTGCATGACCCAGTTTGTCTGGGTGGTTATCATGGTTATGAGGGGGTGTGTTCAGATGAACTATTTTTTAGAAGCTGGAAACTTTGTTCAAGCACGCTTCCACATGGGATCGAAAGAAGAAATAAGTGAGATTAGCGTAAAAATTCAAACTTTTTAACTTACCGTGGTCAACAGGAACTTGCAGTCCAAAGGCGCCAAGCTCTTTCAAACCCTCAAGGGTCGGGTCATCCACCTTCTCAATGGAGTCATTCTTCAAGGCATCATTTACTTCCTGTGAATTTGTATACTGTGTCTGAGTGGGGTATTCATGTTAAACTGCGGCATGGTATCTCAGTGTGCTAGCACTATAAATCGGCATCAGTCCGGCTAGTACAAGCAGCCACACAAACATACACACGTACATGCACGTCGCTATATAAGTGCAATAATCTTGGACGCGACGTTAAACCAAATTTCACCTCACCTCACCTCCTGTGAATTTATCCAATATGGAATTCTGTGACTCATACCTTGAATGTACTTATGAATTTGTGAATAGTGTCTTCAACATGAAGGATTTTTAACTTACAATTCATGTTGATTTCAGATTTTGTAAAAAGAAAGTTCAGTCCAATCATATTTACGTCTCCAATTTTATGCATTTTGTAATATTAATCGCCTGATAGAAGTGGCCAAGCGATGATATTGGTAGTCAATTTGAAATTTCAGTCACCACGGCAAATAAATTATTATTATTATTAATATCATCATCATCATCATTATTACTATTATTATTAATGGTACTATTATTATTATTATTATTATTATTATATCCTTACCTCAAAGAATTTGGCAGTTGGGTCTATCAGCATCTGAAGTGTCTCCTGTTGCTCTGCTGACAGCACTGTGAAGAAAATCGTAGTTGTAGTCGGAACACATTGTAGTAAAACACATTGTAGTAAAACACATTGTAGTAAAACACATTGTAGTCACGGTTGGAACACAGTTCTCTGGCTGAGTGATATTGTGACCAAGTGATCTGCTTCGATGTTTTCCAGATTTGCCTGGCAAAGCCACTTAGATCTTTGATAAATCCCTGTCTTTATACAAAGAATCCAAATGTTGAGTACATACCCTCCGGGAAAGGGAAGACTTGGTCTGTCTGGATCTTCCCCCGAAACAGGTTCATGGCGAAGGACTTGGACTCCTACAAACAAGGAAGAAAAACAGTCAGTGTGGTCGATTACATAACCCTGGTTGTCAGGTACTGGGGACAGTCACTGAAGTCACAGCATACCCTGTGTACAGGCGACACTGATCAGTGTGGACGCTTACATAACTCTGGTTGTCAGGTACTGGGGACAGCCACTGAAGTCACAGCATACCTTGTGTACAGGCGACACTGATCAGTGTGGACGCTTACATAACTCTGGTTGTCAGGTACTGGGGACAGTCACTAAAGTCACAGCATGCCCTGTGTACAGGCGACACTGATCAGTGTGGACGCTTACATAACTCTGGTTGTCAGGTACTGGGGACAGTCACTGAAGTCACAGCAAGCCCTGTGTACAGGCGACACTGATCAGTGTGGACACTTACATAACTCTGGTTGTCAGGTACTGGGGACAGTCACTGAAGTCACAGCAAGCCCTGTGTACAGGCGACACTGATCAGTGTGGACGCTTACATAACTCTGGTTGTCAGGTACTGGGGACAGCCACTGAAGTCACAGCATGCCCTGACACTGATCAGTGAGCACTGATGCCTGGCTACTGGCTGTTTCACCATGAACATATTGACCATTGACCCACGACCAAAACCCATTAACAAGTTCAACCTGAATGACTTTTCTACATCATGGACCAGGCCCTGATGGCATACTTTTAAATTTTCATCATTCTTGAGGATGTTTTGTTTGTTATTGGACTGTAAAAGTCTAGTTTCCACCCTTGCTGAACTAGACTGGAATTATGGTCTAAATTTTAACTTTATGTATGATAGTCAAATTAAACATTTTGTAACGAAATCGACATTCAGTTACTAAACACCATGACGACTGCCGTGAAGATGTTGGTCGATTGTAGGATCTGCAGAGCATGTGTACCATCAACCGGGCGTTGACAGATGTTTTACAAAACCTTTCATGTTTATTATCATGTTGCTCAACATGCTCAAGTGATTTGATGTACTTCACGAAGACCCATTTTATTACAATAAAGATCTTGATTATCTTGACTTACCACTTTGGTGAAACCCATAGACACGGGTATGGTACTGACAAACCTAGAAACACAATCGGGGCGAACCAGGATTCAAACCCATGATCATGGGTTTCTGGAGTGTACAAGGGACGCAACTCTGCACAGCAAACTGTGGGGCCTGTGTCCCCTTCTTTATAACAGAGCTGCAGATAAGCAGCGTTTTTGCATGAACACCCCCCTCCCCCTTCAAAACCCAATTACTTTCAATAACTTGCATACAGAAACGCATGCATTAAATGAAAAACTCAAATGTATAAAAACAGCTTGCATAAATACCCAATGAAGCTTCTTCAGCATGCGTAGAAAGGTGCTAATTTCCTAAAAACAATTACGAGCTTACTTACTTATCGGGTGTCCATATATTTAGAAAAGTTATATACATCTAAAACATTATTTCATATTTTAGTAAATCTTAAAATGTTCACTAATTTTAGGGAAATCCAATAGAGTGATGAATAGATGAGTAAAAAAATATTGGCAACCCAATGATAAATGTAATACCCAATTAAAATAGAAACCCCAGAGTAAAACCTCAATTGCTCAAAACGTTATCTGGAGCTCTGTTATGTTGTGATTATGGAAGTATATATATAAAAAACTGTGTGCACACAATGTGTAAATCTCTTACCCTGTTAAAAAGTATTGAAGTAAATTCTTCCATATTCACTGACAATGCAAAAGTGAGTGAGTTGAGTTTAACGCCGCTTTTAACAGTATTCCAGTTATATCACAATGTGTCAGCTTAATGTGGGAGGAAAGCCTGAAGTGATGCAGGTCTCTGACGTTTAGCAATTCAGTGAAACCCACGAGCATGGGTATGGTGCTGACAAACCTAGAAACATAATAGGGGCGAACCGGGATTCGAACCCACAATCATAGGTTTCTGGCGTGCCCAAGGGACGCAACTCTGCACAGCGAATCGCGGCGCCTTAGATGACTGGGCCACCTGTGTCCCCTTAATGAAAAGGTAATTGTGTAATACAGGGTTAGAAACTAACGGTTTTCGTCCACTAGTCCTTATAATGATAACATTATAGCAAAACCCTTTAAAAGGGCAAATTTCTACTAGTCCTTATGATACCTTTACCATTGTGCAGTTTGGCAAGGACGAGTCCCAATTTCTAACACTCGTAATAGTGTGAATATGAGTGACTATACTTGAAACGTTAAACCCACAAAATGCAATATTCCACAGTAATAGCAGCTGCAGAGACGTACCTTTTCGACATGGACTAGGTATCGCTTTCATAATTCATTCCCAATACAATGATGCACCAGCTTGGTATGACTGTAAATGCAGATCTATGTGTCATGTTACCATGGTTACCAGACATTTATCATTGTGAAAGAAATGTGCACGTTGCCAACTCATTAATTGTTGATAATAACTGCACATTTTACAAAAGATTTATTTTACAAAACCAAATCCTTTGATATGGATCAAACATACAGGGTTCAAAATGTTGTTAATGCCACACCCAGCAATGTTCCAGCTATATGAGAGCACTCTGTAAATAACGGACTCTGGACAAGGCAAAACCAGTGATTGATATTATGACCAACGATCCACGTTATCGGTGGCACAGTGAAACGCTTTCAACCAAGAAAACCCAGTCTGACCATCCAATACACAAGGTTGCCTCTTGCAACCAGCATAGGTTACCGGGGCTCTATTGTAACCAGGTATTTTACCCATAAGGATTGAATGATTGTTTGAAATAACTTTCCAATATTTGCACATTTGCATATTTTTAGAGCTCCTCAATGCTGATCGGTCAATTTATTATATTTATATGACATGATACCTTTGATCATGGGCATATCCATTATCATCATTAACTCTCGTAAACTTATTAAGCATGTCCCCCAGTGATGTGGATTTAGGGCTATATAAATAGCCTTACTATAATTATTGACCATGTTGAAATGTCAAGGAGTAACTTATAGAGGATATCATATGAGTCATACTATGTTTACGACACGAGTGTCTAAATTTCGGTATTTCCTGAGCTAGAACAAGTGTTGTAAACATAGTATGACATGAACACGAATATAATGTTCTATTTAACACCGAAGATGTCTACACACAGACACATTTTAGTGTTTACCTATAAGGACAGAAAGTTGAAATAGCTGCAGAACCACAATTTGTCAATTGACATTAAAAATCTTCAGCTATGACGTCATTTTTAGTGTAACATAATTCCGACCTCACATCACAATAGGATTTGAATGACGGAAACAATACACTGTTGTCTTGTGACGTGACATGACCCTAGGGCACATGATTTTTATGAACCCCGATATGCTTGCCCTCGTAGGTAATACATAGAATAACCTAATCAGAAATATGGATTATCAGTCCCTCCTGAATGAATGCCGCACCAAGGCTCATTCAATCGTGACGGATAATCCATAACTCCTCATAGCTTGTTGGTCATTCTCCATGTCTCCAGGGGTTGCAGAAATGTTCTTCACACATGGTACCCATGTGCAGCGATAGAAACTAATAGGGTCCATCCACTAGTCCTTATAATGATAGCATATAGCAACACCCTAAAAAAGGGCAAATTTCGACTAGTCCTTATGATACATTAACTATTGGGCTGTTTGGCAAGGACCATGGGACCAGTGCCAATTTCTAACACTGATGTGGCGAACTGAACTCAGGATTTCGGCTAATGACTACCCCACCGCCCTGTCACTTATGAGGTTTCTGCATGCCAAAATGGAACTTCTATTCTCGAGCAATTTTAAATATTTTGATTTTGAGGCATTATCATATTAAACCATACAAATTAAAGCAGAGTCTATTCTTCTGTTGCTTTCAGCTTCATCACACTATTTTACAAATAGTCATGCTGTCGCTTGGTGTAATATTAGTAGCATCAAACAAATCTGGCAGATACATATCCAGTATTCTGTTTCGGCAGAATTCAGTGTTATCATATGTAGTTATTAGCTCATCTGATATTAGCTGAGCTAAGTATAATTTGCACTTAGTATAACAGTGTGGACGTAGCTCAGACGGTTAGCTGTTGGACTAACAATCCAATTGTCACAAGTTCGCGTCCAACAAATTCTCACAAAAACTGGTTGCTTGTCTTAGTGAGATGTTGTGTTGCTGCATTCGAAAGGTGCTCCAGCTACATTTGAACTACAGCATTAGAAATTGGCACTAGTCCTACATTCCTTGCCAAACTGCCCAATAGTTAGGGTATCATGGAGACTAGTAGAAATTTGCCATTTTTGCTATATGTTATATCATCATAAGGACTAGTAGACTAAAACAGCTAGTTTCTATTGCTGGACGAGTGACTAAAGTCACAGACTGTGGAGAGAAATGTACCTCTAAATGTTTCTATACTCATTCATGATCATCATCTATATCAATCACCAACTGCTTTTTAAACGTTCTCAACTTGTTGCAAATAAAAAAAAAGGACAAATCATGTTACTGGGGCTGGCTAAAGAGATCCATAATCGGAATTATCGTCAATGGGAAGAAATATTAACTGTAATAGAAGATATGAAAATTGTGTCATCGATAACATCGTACATAAACTGTTGCCATGAAATATTATTACAGTTTTAAGTTACCGAAGCAGACTTGTTTTTGTCCACTGCTGAAGACGGAAAACAACTGATTTTGTTATATCTTAATGTCCACAAGGTAATCCATGCATAAATGTGTCACCACTCACCAGTGACGAGATATATGATGTCGTGTCTCTGAACCTTTCCTGAAAGTGACGGCTTCGATATTTAGGGCCTATTGCTAACTGACCGATTGGCTATTTAGCCTACTTTTCTCGTCTAAGATCAATATCGATAGCCAGCGCTATTTGTTACTATCAAGTGTGGATTTATTTTTATGTCACATCTATTACAAGTCTTTCATTTCATGATCACACTTCTATTCATTTGATTCATATCGTACACAAAACTTTACCTTTTTTGCATCGGAGTCGGAGCTTGCGTAACATCTTTGAACAGCCGCATGTGAAGCACTACAGTGAAAGATCAATGAAAATATTAAAACATGGCGTGTTTTTTTTCAAAATATTTATGCCAGTTACATAGCCTGATAATATATAAGTCTACTCGATATAGCAGACGACCAGAAACGAAACGATTAACCCAATCTGTCATATAACTAGGTTCCAAACAGGGGTCAAAGTCCACCTCTCACAACAGTTACTGTCTGCTAGGCTACCCACTGCACGAGTTTGACGTTTGGAGTGGCCGATTAAAAAAACAAAATGAAAAGTACGAGTGGAAACAACATAGATCATACCCGACAGTCTTCAGTAATGTCTGTTTTCCAACAGCATCCCAAATCTTCACGAAATTCCTGGCAGAACGCAACATGTTCGCTTTAGTTCCCGAAGAGCCTCCAGCAAGTTTACATGGAAAATGAACTTTGTCGGTCACCAAGCATGCGCTTTATCCGTCTGTGATGAAACTTCCGGTTGTCATGACCTTTGAACTTTGTACCCTCAGTCTAAAGCGTATACAGTTTTCGCTTACGTGTCATTGCCCCATTGACCGCTTATGGTTCTCCCTGTTACAGAAGTTCGTTCACCTTTTGTGAAATGTTACTTAACCAAAACAGCAGCACCCACGTGTAACATATAAACCTGTTTTCCACAGGTATAAACCTCGTGAATGTTATGTAACGTTATGACATTACACACGGTGTCGTGCACAGTAAAACTCGGTGCAACCTCGTAACACAAATACTTAATCTTATCGGTCTGCATCAGAGACCATATCTCTTTTATTGTCTCTGGCTACATCGCTACACATTCTACATTCAGAAATAATATGTTCAAGTATGGTATTCGCTAAATGACACTGTACACGTTTTTTATGTCCGCTAGGGAATGATCATTTATAGGGTTGGGGGTTTGGTCTTAGGACTGTTTCATATTTTACTGACCGAAACCCACTCCCCTTCCCCCACCCCCATATTATGTAACATTTATTCATACACGAGCTCCCCCCACAACCACCCTCCCCCACCCTTAACAAAACGTCGAATTTCTTATGCAAATAATTACATCATTTTCTACATCACTCATTCTTTTTATTGATAAAAAAACGAATATGGTATCTAAAATCGAATTTGCGATGTCAATAAATGTATTTATTGACAATCAAGAAACCGGTTTTTATATATAAAGAAGTGAATATTTTTTTTCAGGATAGTCAGCATGTTTTTCCATCGAACTATTATGCCATTGTCGTTTTAAAAAAGTCAAAATATTTCATCGCCAAAGCATTTCTTTTCGTGGTAGGCGGTATATGGTAACGCTAGCTGTGTACTGTAATCGGGCCTCCACGTGCAATTGATATATGGGTTGTTAGGCTTATCATGCCAGGGAGTCTATGTAAGTATTGATTAGACTCCCTGCTGTGTGGAACGCGGCCCAAAGCAAGGTCAAAGTCACACACATATTTTGTTTGTTTGTTTGTTGTTTAACACCGCACTCAGCAATATTCCAGCTATATGACGGCGGTCTGCAAATAATCGAGTCTGGACCAGACAATCCAGGTGATTGACATCATGAACATCGATGGGATCGATGACATGCATCAACCAAGTCAGCGAGCCTGACCACCCGATCCCGTTATTCGTCTTTTACGGCAAGCATGGGTTGCTGAAGACCTATTCTACCCCGGATCTTCACGGGTCACACACACACACATATATATATACATTACACATATTTCTTCCTTTTTTTCTTCTGAAAATAGGGTCGGACTATTTGTTATATTAGGGAAATTAAAGACACCAGTGTGTCATTGCGATTGGTGTTGTTTTTTTATATTATAAATAATGTATTCAGAAAAAATAAATACTTTAAAGCGTGCAGTGACAGAAAAAAGACAACTGCACATGTAATTTTGCAAGACAAGGCGGATTTACACGGAACGCACACGTTTTTACGTTTGTACCTCCAAAATAAATAAGCATTGTCTTGAGTGTAGAAAATACAGCTGACCAGCTTCAGCGGTAGAGAGATTAGTGATGTCATTCGATTCTGACGTCATGATTACTGATGATGTAACAATGGTATGCAAAGCATTAGGATCCAGTAAGCTGCTAATTTGACGTGCTCGGGATTGTTTCTAAAAATAAAAGGAAATGAGAATAAATATTCATCATTTTGTTTATTTAACATCTGGAAATAATGTCCTTACCGTATACTGTCTATTTTTAGGGAAACTAAGCTTAACAGATTACAAGCAGCTTCATTAAGAGCAAAGGAAGTTCTGCTATAGCGTCATCGTCAACAAATCGGACGGTATATCTTAATTCTTGCTATTCGGTCATGCACACATATCTTTAGTTGAACATTGGTGTTTTTCAACATGGGAATTACTAGTGATTATTTTGATATATTGTTCTTGTTTTCACCAGTATGTTGAAACACTTTCAAATTCTGAGAGCCTTTCGGGATCTCGGCCCATGACCTAATTGCACTTATATAGCGACGTGCATGCACGTGTATGTTTGTGTGTGTGTGGCTGCTTGTACTAGTACGGACTAATGCCGATTTATATAGTGCCAGCACATTGAAATACCATGCAGTATTTTAACATGAATACCCAACTCAGACACAGTATACTGACTACGAGCCGACCAGTCCTTGTTTTAACCCCTTAATGCCGAGCGCCAGACAGGATAAAAACAAGTACCATATTTTAAAGGGGCACTGATCTAACGCAATTCCCCGGGACTGGTTGTTGCCTTTGTTATTGTTTTTTCCCAGTGAGCACCCGGATGTATAGCAGAAATCTAGACTAGTTCGCGACCTCTGCTGCGCAATTCGTAAGCGCATTAGTCACTTGTATGGGTAGTAATATAGAGGGCGTATGGTCACATTGATCAACAAAATTAAATACAGTTTTGGAGATAAGAAGGAAATGTAGGTATCTTTGTGGTTAGCATCGGTAATGGTGACGAAGTTTTGATAAGTCACTTGCTTGGTAATTTTGCGATTTTCGTTTACACTATTTTGACTTGCAACACAAAGTAAATATTTCACCTGAGCATTGCTTTTTGATAGTGTGTATATTTTTTACTGTCAAAATGTGTAACATTTTCAAACTTATTCAACGCCTAAATATTCAGTTATTTAACAAAGTGACTGAAAAACATTTCCATCTGTATTATTATCATAACGAATTCCAAACATTTTGATGTTTAATGTCATCACCAAGAGACTGAAAATGTTACGTTGAAAAGTACATTTCTATGTTGTTTGGCTTCTAATCCTACATAATAATCTCTTGTGATGTTTGTAGGCCCTTTTGATCGCCTTAATCAATCTGGACAGATTTTTTAGTCAAAATGACTGAAATATTTACACATTTTATAAATTGCCTGAGAGAATTACATTTTACAAATTGACGGTAATATATACACGCTTACAAGGGAAAAGGCCTGTGAAAACAACGTCTATCGCGCATTGAAGAATTTCCTAAAACCAAGACGTAGAGAAACAAGGACGAATCGGTTCAATGCTACAGCAAATGAAGGAAAACAAAATGCATATACCATAATTACAACCTACCACATTTATGTGTATAAATTTTAGGCAGCTTCCTTGTTCGAGGAATGTATCCGTGAATATCCACACAAAGGAACAATATCCCACTCGTCTGCAGCTGTACAAAGAAACCTATTCGATGTCACGTGTCTCTGTTACAATCACATATTTTAAAAGATATATATCGTTTCGGGATATTATAACCCGTGTTCGTTTCTCAACTGATCACTTGGATTGTTTCAGGTGTTTCACATAGGTGTCAAGTCTCAAGGGGCAGATGAGAAAGCCCACGTGACAACTATTTTCATAACGTCCACGGTTCCTAAAAATCCGTTGAGTGATAGATAACAATGATCAATCAATCAACGTATTATCAGTTAACCCTTTAAACAAAGTATGTTGTTTTACATCGGCACTTCACGCAAGGATATGTGTGTATTCCCTTTGTTTTAGTAAACCTAGACATGTAAACACTCACTTTTGACATATCCACTGTGCAAGATAACAGTGATTAATCAATCAACGTATTTTCTGTTAATCCTTTGATGACTAGGAACGATCCGTTGATTTACAAAGAAAGTAAATCAACTGATCATTCACCTCTTGCTGGTCTGCCACGTGCATATTACATAACACACATTTCACCTCACTTCAAACCTGGATTTAGATTGAATAATTACCCCAGACACAATAAATGCCAAATGGAAACCTTTGTCAGGTAATCTAAGGGGTGCTACCACTAATTGTACCTGTAATAAATTCATTAACTGAGCATCAAGTGAATGACGACAAATACACAAGTGTAGGGTTATGCGAGAAAACGTGGATGACAACAAGGGAGTAGTAATCGTATTATCGACGCAATCCGAAAACCGAAAATGCTTTCACTGCATGGATACTTTTTTTTAGTGTTAACTATAACCATCTGGGGTATTTCCAAATGACGACATCCGATGAGCTCCGCCGTTCTTTTTGTCTGTTAGTTTAGGCTGAAGAAATGAATTAACATGCGCCCTTTGTCGAAATCTTTATAGATCACGGTTAACAAATCAGTGTTTATGCAAAAATGCGCAAATCAAATATTGCCTCCAGCCTCCAAGTTTATTTAGCTGTCCTTGCAGACGGTAGCCCAGTCGCTGGTCACGCTCAGTTGCGTTGCGTATCATCCGGGTACTCACGGGGAAAAAAACAATAACAAAGGCAACAACCAGTCCGGGGAATTGCGTTAGATCAGTGCCCCTTTAACGTCTTTTGGTATGACGCGGCCGGGGATCGAACCCCAGACCTTCCGCTCTCCGGGCGGACACTCTGCCACTGGACCATGGAGGCGGTCACCACGCCCCTGGCCTATTATTTCGGTGTTCCTGCTTTTTTCCCCTCTAAAATATACATACTGCAGTAACGATTATAAGGTTACATCCGCTGTTTCGGGATCGTTGTTGGGGTCTTGATAAATTACAGATACCAGTGATCACTAACATGATGCTTTTGTAATTAAATTCTAAGAGTGTCAGATACATTCACTTCAAAAGATACACGAATTTACGCTTTGAATGGTGATTTAGTATTTAATGCAAGCATACAGCGATACATTTACTCTATGTAGGCCTACTTGTTTTGCGTAGAATGACTGCGGATAATACCACAGAACAGATTGTTCCGAAGAATTTACAACTGCGCACTGTATTAGTGTTAAGACGTATATATACGTCATTGATTAGTGTATGTGATGTATTGTGACTTTTACTCAACATCAAAGATTTAATGTAGTGAAGACCCGTGAAGATCCGGGATGGTCTTCAGCAATCCATGCGATCCAACTCCAAGCATGGTTGTGGCCACCTATCGCAGTTGGGAGTTTTGACTGGTAGCAGCGATAGTACAGAGAGCTCAGCGAAAGTGTTATCGCTGTGAGGAGCTTGAGACACTTACGAGAAAGGGAGATAATTTGCGGGGATGTAACTCTTGTATGACAATAGTTCTGTCAAAGTGTAATGTTTGCTGCAGTGAAATATCAAGTGGTACGTTCACTGCAATGAAAATGTCACTTTTCTCAACTTTAGAAAACTCAGTCTTTCTCACTGAAGTATATGATAAAAGGGAGCAGTTATTGTGGAAAGTAGAAATAATGATATCACAAATTCAATTTATTGATATCTAAAATTCTCCATTATTTCATGATATCACAAACTAAACTGAAATCACAAATTCGATTATATATATACAAAATTGAATTCTTGATATCACAAAACTGTATTTAGGATATCATAAAATACTTAAGACTGTTAGATATCACAAATTCGATGTTGTGATATCACAAAATTTATTTTTAGATACCAAACTCGTTTTATATCTAAAATTTGCATTTCTTATATTAAATAATTATTTCATATGATATCAATAATTATTTTACGATATCATTAATTCGTATTTGTGATATCAATAATTCATTTTGTGATATCAATAAACAAATTATTGACAAAATGAATCTTATCCTGAATAAAATCAGGAATGAATAGTAAAAGGGCGCCTCACAACTTTCTGTCATTTCGTGAGATGTGCCTTCAGGTGCAGGAAGGACCTTAAAAATTTAAATTGTACTTAGTTTGATCCTAGGTGCGCTCAGATTGCATCTCGGTGCGCTTAGATTACACCTCGATGAGCTTAGATTGCACCTCAGTGCACTTAGTTTGATCCTCGTTGCGCTCAGATTGCACCTCGGTGCGTTCAGATTGCACCTTGGTGCGCTTATATTGCACCTTGGTGCGCTTATATTGCACCTCAGCACGCTTAGATTGAACCTTGGTGCGCTTAGTTTGATCCTCAGTGCACTTGGATTGCACCTCAGTGCGCTTAGATTGCACCTCAGTGTGCTTAGACTGCACCTCGGTGCACTTAGACTGCGCCTCGGTGCACTTAGATTGCACCTCAGCGCGCTTAGATTGATCCTCGGTGTGCTTAGATTGCACCTCGGTGCGCTTAGATTGATCCTCGGTGCGCTCAGATTGCACCTCGGTGTGCTTAGATTGCACCTCGGTGCGCTTAGATTGATCCTCGGTGCGCTCAGATTGCACCTCGGTGCGCTTAGACTGCACCTCGGTGTGCTTAGATTGCACCTCTGTGCGCTCAGATTGCACCTCGGTGTGTTCAGATTGCACCTCGGGCGCTTAGATTGCACCTTGGTGCGCTTAGATTGCACCTAAGCACGCTTAGATTGAACCTTGGTGCGCTTAGTTTGATCCTCAGTGCACTTGGATTGCACCTCAGTGCGCTTAGATTGCACCTCAGTGTGCTTGGACTGTACCTCGGTGCACTTAGACTGCGCCTCGGTGCACTTAGATTGCAATTCAGCGCGCTTAGATTGATCCTCAGTGCGCTCAGATTGCACCTCGGTGTGCTTAGATTGCACCTCGGTGCGCTCAGATTGCACCTCGGTGTGTTCAGATTGCACCTCGGGGCGCTTAGATTGCACCTTGGTGCGCTTATATTGCACCTCAGCACGCTTAGATTGAACCTTGGTGCGCTTAGTTTGATCCTCGGTGCACTTGGATTGCACCTCAGTGCGCTTAGATTGCACCTCAGTGTGCTTAGACTGCACCTCGGTGCACTTAGATTGCACCTCAGCGCGCTTAGATTGATCCTTGGTGCGCTCAGATTGCACCTCGGTGTGCTTAGATTGCACCTCGGTGTGCTTAGATTGCACGTCGGTGCACTTAGATTGATCCTCGGTGCGCTCAGATTGATCCTCGGTGCGCTCAGATTGCACCTCGGTGCACTTAAGATTGATCCTCGGTGCGCTCAGATTGCACCTCAGTGCGCTTAGATTGCACCTCGGTGCGCTCAGATTGCACCTCGTTGTGCTTAGATTGCACCTCGGTGTGCTTAGATTGCACCTCGGTGCGCTTAGATTGATCCTCAGTGCACTTAGTTTGATCCTCGGTGCGCTTAGATTGCACCTCAGTGCACTCACATGTAGATTTTCATAAAAATATGGATGGTATTTCGTAAATATTGACACGATTACTATCTACTTTTTATGTAATAATTACATTACCCTTTGTTAAGATAATGGTCTTCATAACTTTAACATGGTCTTTAGAACTGGTCTTTAGCAACCCATGCTTGTCGTAAGAGGTGACTAACAGAACCGGGTGGTCAGGCTCGCCGACTTGTTTGATGGATTTCATTGTATCTCAGTTGTGTAAATCAGTGCTCATCGTGTCAATCACTGGATTGTCTGGTCCAGACTCAATTATTTACAGACGGCTGTCATATAGCTGAGTGCGGTGTTAAACAGCAAACAAACTCATACAGTGCTACCTCATTAAGTTATAGTCCTAATCACCAACACCAATATTAAGGGTCATCTATATTTCAATACAAGCGGTCCGTGAGGAATCCAGGTTAGAAATAGTCCCTCGCAGCCAGTGCTGGTCTTAAGAGGCAACTAAATAGGTCAGACTCCGAGACCTGGTCAATCACTCGAATACCTGGAATCCTCGCATCGTATTCTATTTTATCTGGACACACTGAAATAGAGGATTTTAAAAAACAAATGGCAGGTAAAGTGGGACAAGACACTTCTTATAAAAATCTTTATTTGACATTTCGTTCAATGCAGTAATGTAAAAGTTACTATTTAAGTCCTTTTCACTTTATTGATGCGGTAAATCACCATTTTCAAACTTAAATAAATTGTTTGTAAGTCCGGAGCTGAATACTGACCGATTAGAACACCTATATAAATCCTTAATAATATAAACATGATCAAATTTAACATTGAGAAAAACCAACAGATGATAAACATCAGACCAAGGTTCAAATATTAGGGTGCCAACATGCCAGATGTGCGTCACTTTTTACATTAATATATATATATATATATGGAGGAGCTACATCTGGAAATGTTGCTTAGAGACTGGTCATTTATTATATGTCCCTTACATGACTAAACACTGAACATTAGGGATAAAAACTATCATGTAACCTTCCATGCTCATGTTAATTGCAGAACTTTTTTTGTCGAAATAGGGTTCACATAGGCAGATTGACCAAATGGTCTGACAACCCCCTTGTCAAAATCAAATTGTTTCTAGAGATTCGAGTCAATCATATCAAATCAATGTCAGGTGCATGGAATGCTCCATTTAAATCAAATTCCACCTTTTACATCTTTTCTTCCGGTTGACACATAATGCCTTCAGCTTTGTAATTCACAAACCTCATGTGCCTGTCGAAAAGCTAACTATGCACCTTGCTGGCTTTTGCATTCTCAGATTTCTTTTCATGAGACTTGAAATGTTTCATAAAGTAGTCCTTCCTGGTAAACCCCTCCCCACACATGTCACACACGAAGTCCACCTCACCAGTGTGGGTTTTCATGTGCCTTTTCAAATGAACCGTCGTCGAGAAGGACTTGTCACACAGCTTACAGTATATTGTGATATCATTATGAATCCTTCTATGAGAGCGTAGTGTTTCTATATATCCAAATCGGAGCCCGCAATCCTCACACTTGAATGGCTTTTCACCGGTGTGAGTCCGCTTGTGTCTCTTCAGCTGAGTGGACTGTCCAAAGGTCTTCTTGCATTGCTCACACTGAAAAGGCTTTTCTTCGTTGTGAATTCTCCAATGTCTCACCAAACTGCACTTATGGGGGAAAGTTTTCCCGCACTGTTCACACTTATGTTTTCTCTCCGAGCTGTGGGAGATCATGTGAGATCTCAGTGCACTTTTTTCAATGAAGGCCTTATCACACATGGTGCAAGGATACGGTCTCTCGCCCGTATGGACTCTTTTATGTATAATTAATGTTGAGCGGTGCGTGAACCCTGACCCACAGTACTCGCATGTATATTTCTTAAGATTGATGTGAGTGAGTTGATGGCTGTACAAAGCTGTCGCTGTCGTGAACGTTTCATCGCATATTTTACACGTGAATTCATGAATGTCGTCGTGACTTAGCATGTGGTTCTTCAACTCACTTGCAGTCTTACTTGCAAAATCACACGCAACACAACGAAATGGTCTCTTATGTCGATCCCGATGAATCTTCAGTTCTTCTTGTGTCTCATATTCAATGTCACATCTTCGACATTTCCATTTTTTATGAATCTTCACATGCTGCATCATTTCTTTATTATTATGAAACCTCAGTCCACACGCCTCGCACTTAAAATTGTCTTCACTGTAGTGTAGTAGAGAATGACTAGAGAGACTTGTTGCTTCCTCAAACTCCTCAGAACAAACATCACACTTGTAGTGTTTTCCATGACTCTTTTTACAATGATTCTGCAACCATTTTAAGGACTTGTAGCTCTTGTCACATTCCGCGCAAGGAAAGGATCTTGTTTCTTCATGGGAGATCATGTGTGTTTTTATCACAGCCTCAGAGCTACAGGTAAATTCGCAGTTCGCACACTCATACATTGTCTCATGATCAACCTTATGCTCAACCAGTTCTGTGCTGGTTTCAAAAATTTCATCACAAGTTTTACACTTCCATCGCTTATGCGTCTTCAAATGGATCCTCAAATCTATCAACTTTGAAAACCTTTTTTGGCATTTCTTACATCCAAACCTTTGTCTCTTTGTGTGCATTGTAGCATGTGCATCAAGGCTTGTTTGTTTCCCAAACTGCTTTGAGCAAATATTACATTTATAAGTCTTGCCATGCTTCTTCTTTCTATGATTGACCAAACATTTGGAGCTCTTGAACGTCTTCTCGCACAGCTTGCACTGAAACCGTTTCCTATCTTCATGGGTCTGTAAGTGAACGTTCAAACTGGTGGCTTCAGTGAAGGCCAGTTCACAGATGCCACATTCAAAGTTGATCACCTCGGGTTGTTTGCGATGGTTTTCTACATGATGTTTTAGCTTGTCCCTCTCGGTAAAAACTTGTTCACAGATTCCACATTCAAAGTAAACACTGCTTTTGCACTCATGAGATTTGAATCGTCCCACTGTTTTAAATTTCCTACTGCACGTCACACACTGAAGGTCATCATTTTGGCGGTGGAGCTTCAGATGAACAGTCAGTTTTGTTTCCTTAGAAAAAGATTTTTCACAAACCTTGCATGAATAGGAAATAGAAGCTGATTTGGTCGCCATTTGATTACCATGGGATTTCGAATTCTTCTTCAGTCGCTTTGCAGGCAGTGGGGAGTCCCTGTCTGCCTCTGTCAGCTTCCTCCTTCCTCTGTCGGACAACGGTCGGGATGGGACTTCCATTTCGAAGTACGGCATGTCCGGGACAGAAGAGTCAGGCTCTGTTTTGATGACAACAGACATGAAAACACCACTTTCAGATGGATTCTCACTACACACCTTAGCACTTATGTCATCAGTCCTTCTGGAACGAGTTTCTATTTCTTGACTAAGGTCACTGTCATGAGACAAGGTCATATCTTGACCTTGACCTGTTTCCAAGGACTCTGCACTTGGGACATGTGATTTATTTGGATGGTCCTGTGATGTTCTGGAAGATGAAAGGCGGAGAATTGTAATGTTATTTTTTGTTCTCTCAGAATCGTTTTCATCAGGGACGTTGGTGTCCATGGTGGCAATTATCTTACAAGGAGCAGATGATAGCTCTTGAAGAACATCCTCCCCATCGCTGTCATCCTGGGATGCCGTGGAAAGGTCCAAAACCATGTTGTCACAAGTCACCTGAGAACTGGTAGGGTTTCTTTCGACATTATTATTATTTTGTGTGGTGATTTTATCTATTTCATCTACAGTGTCCTTCAACATATATTGACTATCCTGCTTGATAAATTGTATTGGCTTCCCATCTGCAGACCCTGGTTTAACACTGTCCTCAAGAACATGGGAATTTCTGAGGTCTGTTCTAGCAAGTTCTGGTGGCCTCCCATCTGAAGACCCTGGTCCAACACTCTTCCCCAGAACACAAGGATTTCTGAGGTCCTCTCCTTCAAGTCGTATTGACCTGTCACCCCCAGACACTGGTCCAACACTGTCAGTATCAACATTAACTATCCCAACATCCTTCCTTCCTTCACCAACCACCAAATGGTCACTGCAGACAATTCTCTGCCTGACACCACCCACTGATCGATTCCCTACAGCTGTTCCTGCTGTGGTCTTGACAGCATCCACCACCATGTCCCTTGCACCACCAACTGTCCTGGGGAGTCCTCCAGAAGGCAAAGAGATGTCAAAAAGACTGTGATCAGCTCCATCAAACAGGTAGCTGAAGGTTTGACTTTCATCCCCCGGATCCTTCAACCCCGCATCCTTGACAACTCTACCAGTCTTACATTCAGTACCTGTCTGAACATCGTCACCCTGACCGACCAACCCATTACTCAGAGTTCCCCGACACCCCCTCTCAAGATCATCATTCACTACCACTGTTTCATGTGATGAACTTTCTCCTGCAGCATATATATACATGGCATCACATTTCCCAATCTTGTGGATGGAAGCTATGCTGGTGTCATCCAGAATCACAACTTGATCCTCGGAGTCTTTACCGACATCAGGCCTCTCAAAGTTCATGGTGTCATTGTGGTAGTGTCCTTTGGCAACAGGTCCTGCCTGCGATCCTGTGGAAGCGTCCAATAATCCTGGAGAGCCTTGGTCAGTATTCTCTGTGTGTTCTTGAGGTTTGTAGGTCAGGTTATTTCGGGTTGTCCTCGGGCGTGATCTGCCACCAGGTGTCGGACCCATCAGTACCATTGTGACTCACAGTGGACCATTGTGACTCACAGTGGGGCACAGTGTTGAATGTAGGTAGTGTAGCTCCACCTGTGCTTGGGGGGCACCATGATGGACGCGATGTCTTCTTGTGCAACGTGCTCTGTCTAGGTCAGTTGGCAAGTCAAATGTATATCTGTAAAGAGAAAAGAATCAAATTGGATAATAAGACTGATCATATGTTGATACAGCATTGATCATTTTGAACATTATTTCAGTTATATTGCATTTGCGTTGTGGTATATTGGGCAAAAATAATATAACAACTTCCATTATTATTTGTATCGTTTAACCAAAATCTACACAGAAATTAATTCACAATTCACTTCAAAATTGAGGACAAAATGGGAGAAATACAGAAGTGCTTTTTCTCTCACATTGTTATCTCTGTGAATTATATGACTAATAACAAACAAAGAATCATAGTCATAGTTCAAATCCATGTGACTTCCACCAATCAGATCCTGACACGAAAGGGGACACTACTCTTCGCAGCTTGTTCGTTCATTTTATTCAAATGTGACAATATCAGGTAATTTTCAGACAAACCACCTGACCTGGTTGAGTTGTAATTTTTGTTGGTGTGGTTAGAGGCAGGACAGTTTTCAGTCACTGATTTAAAACAAACATTTTTCTCTAAGATAGTTAGTTAGTTAGCGAGTGTGGTTTTATACCGCTTTAAGCAATATTACAGCAAGATCACGACCGTGGACACAAGAAATGGATGTTCCACACTGTACCCATTTCGGATATCAAGCCTTCAATGTGACGAGCGAACACTTTAACCACTAGGCTACCCCACAACCTCTTTCTCAGAAAGGAGGAGTATAACAATTTCATCTTTTTTCTGTAGTGGGATGATACTCAGATGCTTTGACGGATCACATTTTCTTCCTTCTTGACACATGTATCAATCACAGTCGCACACGAAGCAGAAAGTATTGATCCTTATCTTAAATGCTTTAATAACCATCCAACCAAACACTTGTTAGTAGTGATATAACAATACAAGGGATAATAATTTACATGCACTGGCCATGACTTTGTAGTTGTACTGGCTAGCAACCAGTTATCTCCAAGGACCAATTATCGCCAACTCCCCATTACAGCGTGCACGTGATTGCATCTCATTTTAATTTTGCACTTTTTTTGTTAGAAGAGAGAATTATTATATACCTAAGACTGAGTTTTCCAAAGTTGAGAAAAGTGATATTTTCATTGCAGTCAACATAACACTTGATATTTCACTGCTGAGAACATAACACTTTGACGGAACTATTGTCATACAAGGGTGACCTCCCCTCAAATTGTCTCCCTTTATTGTAAGGGTCTGACCCGTTCACAAACTGTTGACTTCTTTTTACGTTAGTTCCACAATGACAGACGGTCATTTATGGAGTTAATATGGCTTCATGGCGTTTGATATTCTCTTGCAAATGTTCCGTTATAAACAGTAAATTTCTCACTTAACTCTTCAATCGATACCGTTTGTTTCCCAAAGCGCCATTTTTGTTGCTTGACCCAAGACGTATATGTACGTCCGTGCTTGACAAGAGTGTATTCTAGCGGTCTTGAAGTTTTCAAGAATATATTTTTTTGTTAAAGTTGATTTTGTATATATAATCATATCTATATGTTAAATACAGAATTTTCATGCCCCTAAATACTTTTGGTAACTTTTGTTTATATTTTTTTATGATTTTGCAAACAGGAAACTACTATTTTAGTCATAATACACGGGGCGGTGACCCGTCCCTGTGTTTTAGGTAGGGAGAATTTACTTTAGAACTTCAGAAAGAACACATGGATGGTGTCACATGACTTATTAATGTGTAAAGAAAATCCAACAACATGATGATGCACATTTAGTTCTGTCCTTGCTTACTATCTGTCTGTCATTTCTTCCCCAAAATACAATTCAAAAACCTATTTCAGCTTTTCCCCCCAAAATGCATGAACTGTTCACAGTACATAGTGTTAAGCATAAGCATGTTGTAGATCGAGTTGGGGAATATTGGTTAATGTCAGTTTGTAGACGACAAACTAATTTTGATGAATTAAACATTTAGTGTGATACCCAAGGTTCTAAGACATGTAATTTGCATAACTGAATCAATGCTTGTGATCACGTGGCACTTGCCGTTAAGACCATGGCGATAACTGGTACAGTTAGACGACGGGAATGTTCCATTTCCACTGTTTTGATTCCCATTCGTAGTGCTATTACAGAAATCTGCTGACAGTTACTTTAGGAACAGAAATAAACTCATTTGTTTCCCCAAAATTAAAGTTATTTGTATGTAGTCAACTTTGTACACAGAGTATGTCTGAAATAACATGAACAAATGGTGAAAACAGGTCGGTGACCAGTAGGCATAAATATTAGGTTGCATTTTCTCAGCAATAGGTTGCACTGGTGCATGTTTAATACAACCAAGTCAAAACCTGCAATTCCACACGTTTCCTCATCCTACATTGAAAAAACAATATGTTTTAATCAGCAGTAGAAACTAACATTTTAGTCCACTAGTCCTTATAATGATAACATATAGCAAAACTATCAAAAACGGCAAATTTCTACTAGTCCTTATGCTACCTTCACTATTGGGCAGTTTGGCAAGGACTACAGGATGAGTACCACTTTCTAACACGGTTCTAATGTTTGACCCCTAATTATTAGAGGGCCAGATCTTTCTTCCTTTGATCCTTTTCTAACAGAATTCGGATGAGTCAGCGCCTGTTAAAATTGTAACACATGCTATTTATATTTATATACAAGAAATCCCCAAATAAACTTCATAAAATATCCATAACAAACCAACAACAGTTCAGTTCAGCAAGCTTAAAGGGGCACTATCTCTGTCTTCTTCTCGACTGTCTAACACTCGACTCTAGGGCTCACTGGCTGCCGTGAGTCGATTTGCTCACTCACGCAACTGACCTTAAGCAAGACAAGGCTACGGTCTGCAAGGACAGCTAAATAAATTTGGAATCAATATTTGTTTAACGCAAGTTTTAACACTGATTGGTTAACCGTGATCTATAAAGATTTTGACAAAGGGTGCATGTTAATTAATTTCTTCCGCCTTAACAAACAGATAAAAAGAACGGCGGAGCTCTTCAGATGTCGTCATTTGGAATACCCCAGATGGTTATAGTTTAATAATAAAAAAAAAGAATCCATGCAGTGAAGCATTTTCGGATTTCGTCGAGAATACGATTACTACTCCCATGTTGTCATCCACGTTTTCTGGTATAACCCTACACTTGTGTATTTGTCGTCATTCACTTGATGCTCAGTTAATGAATTTATTACAGGTATAATTAGTGGCAGCACCACTCAGATTACCTGATAAAGGTTCCCATTCGGCATTTAATTCTAGTGTCTGGGATAATAGTTCAATCTAAGTCCAAGTTTGAGTGAGTGAGTTGGGTTTAACACCGCTTTTAACAGTATTCCAGTTATATCGCGGCGTGTCAGCTTAATGTGGGAGGAAAGCCCGAAGTGATGCAGGTCTCAGACTTTTACCACTTTGGTGAAACCCACGAGCACGGGTATGGTGCTGACAAACCTAGAAACATAATTGGGGCGAACCGGGATTCGAACCCACAATCATAGGTTTCTGGCGTACCCAAGGGACACAACTCTGCACAGCGAATCGCGGCGCCTTACACGACTGGGCCACCCGTGCCCCCTCCAAGTTTGAAGTGAGGTGAAATGTGTGTTATGTGTACATGTGGCAGCTCAGCATGAGATGAATGATCAGTTGATTTACTTTTTTGTAAAATCAACAGATCATTCCTCATGTTCCTAGCCATCAAAGGATCCACCCGAAAATATGTTGATTGATTAATCATTGTTATCTTGCACAGTGGATATGTCAATACTGATATACTTTTTAAATATTATGTATATTTTACAGCCCAAACCTGCTTTTTAATTCTCCAACAAAGAAAAAATATTTTATATGGCTAGTGATGGGTAGTATATTTTATATACCTGTTTTACACTAATATATTGATGTTGTATACACTGTGATATATTTTAAGTCTCGTAACCCTTAACGGGTGGTTCACTTATGGGTACTGTTTTATGTGTCCAAGTAAATATTTTTGTGAGGTGAGACTCGAATAAACAATCTGTCTGTCAAAAGTAAGTGTTTTCATGTGTAGGTTTACTAAAGCAAAGGGAATACTCTCATATCATGGCTTGAAGTGCCAATGTAAAAACAACAAACCTTGTTCAAAAGGTTAACTGATAATACGTTGATTGATCTAACTCAATGGATTTTTTATGAACCGTGGACATTATGTCACGTGGGCTTCCTCAGCTGACCTTTGAGACTTGACACCTATGTGAAACCACTGAAACAAACTCAGTGATCATGGTGATCAGTTGAGAAACGAAAACGGGTTATAATTTTCCGAAACGATATTTTAAAATATTTAATTGTTACAGTGACACGTAACATCGATTAAATTTCTTTTTACAGCTGCAGACGTGTGGGATATTGTTCCTTTATGTGGATATTCACAGATACATTCCTCAAACAAGGAAGCTGCCTAAAATTAAACATATAACTTTGGTAGGTTGTAATTATGATATTTGCATTTTGTTTTCATTCATTTGCTGTATCGTTGAACAGATTCATTCTTGTTCCTCTACATCTTGGTTGGCAAGTTCTTCGATGCACGATAGATGTTGTTTTCACAAGTCTTTTCCTTTGTAAGCGCGTATATGTTACAGTCAATCTGTAAAATGTGATTCACTCAGGCAATTAATAAAATGTCTATATATTTCAGTCATTTTACAATTGCTTGGATTAGAAGCCAATCAGTAATAATTAAATTTTCGTTGTGTTCATGGAAATTCCTGCATTCTGATAAGCTGAATTGGTCACGTGTCATTGCATTCATTTCCCAATGAATGTAAAAAAGTAAGCCACGCCCACCGCGGCGCACTACCTTTGTTACTGCGGAATGTCGGGGAATCCCAATATTACAGTCGAGGGAATTCCCTTTCTGCTCACGTGTATCATGATGCAGAGGACATTTAGCTACTTTCATGCATATTGTCCAAACTACCCTTTGAAACCGAAGGCCAAGAATGAATGAAACAGCAAACGTGCAGGCTCGCTCGCCTGTTTTTTTCCCGCTCGCCTCGGTTCAACTTTCATTTCTAACTAGCATTTCTCCAACTGTGTTTTACCGTAATCAGAAAAGTAATGTTTGAACCACGCAGTATATGACCATGCTATTTGAAACAGCCGCCTTCTCTTGGACATATTTCTTCCGGTTCGTTACAGTCTGACTGTTGCAGTTCTTTTCGCCCATTGCATTAATTGACAGGTCCAATGAACATTGTTTAAATCCCACTCTCCGTTGATTGGCTACTGACTGTGTAGGCGTGTCAAGTTATGTGCATAAATTAAACGATCACCCGATTCATGTCACGCCACTGTATGTATTCCTACACTGGAATGTTTATCAATGTCATCATTTTTGTCTGTTTTGTTTATATGCAACTGTTTTGGGTTAAACTATTGTAGATAAAACATTTTTTACGTTGTCGAATTTAATTATAAGCATTGACTGTACATTTTTTTCGGTTCATTGAGGTATGAATAAAAAACCAATGTGCAAACTTTTGTAAGAATCCGCTACTCGGATTCATACAGTTTGTACATCGGTTTTTCGATTCATACCTCAATGAACCGAAAAAAATACACAGTCAATCCTTAATACAAATGTACTTTTAATCCTAACATTTTCAGTCACTTGGTGATGATATTAAACATAAAGATGTTTGGAATTCGTTATCATAATAATACATTTAGACATATTTTTCAGTCAATTTGTATATAGATCTATAACTGAATATTTTGACATATAATAAATTTCCGAAGTGAAAATTTTGCACATTTTGACAGTAAAAATATAAACACCATAAAACAAGCAATGCTCAGGTGAAATATTTACTTTGTGTTGCAAGTCAAAATAGTGTAAACGAAAACTCCACAAAATTAGGCTTACCAAGTATGTGACTTATTTTTCATTTTGTTGATCAATGTGACCATACTATCAAAAAAAGTGACAAATGCGCTTACAAATTGCGCAGCACAGGTCGCGAACTAGTCTAGATTTCTGCTATGTCATCCGGGTACTCAGGGGGGAAAAACAATAACAATGGCAACAACCATTCCCGGTGAATTGCGTTAGATCAGTGCCCCTTTAAACGCAGCTTCAACCGAGGAAGTGAGCAACTTATTATTCGGGCCATATATATATTCTGCACCTGTTTCAGATCGACAACAGTTCGGTAAGAAATCCGACGTAGAACTCTCTCAAAAAGCAGATTAAGAATATTATTGCAAAATCCGATGATACCCTACCATGCGTCTGTACTTCTCTCCCTCGTGTCTCGACAATCTGAAGTCTTCCAAAGCTTGCCAACTGCAACCGGAAATGCACCATACGGACTTTTGCTAACATGGTCCCTTCCGAAAGCGGCACTAACCCAAACCGGCTTCACTCTTCGCGTAAGTAAAACGGCACGGGTGTCTGTGCTGGGGACCGACTGCGCATGATCCGTTTCGACTGAAAACCAGCCAGTTGACAGTTATGGCGGTGGTTCGTTTTGTCTGGCATCCGCGTGTTTGGCACACGTGTTAACCACAGGCCCCTGTCGTATAGCGGGAACTGATGCGTGTCTCAAGGCAACAAACGATTAAACACTTACTTTTTTATGCAAATTGTTTGAGTGACCGGTGCTACCGCTTGCGCAGGACAAGCAAAATACCCATTTCGCGAACACCTGGGGCGCGTTGCAAGCCACGAATCGCTTAGAGAAAGCAAATTCATCGCTCAACCCGGGGTCTGCAACAGTTCGAAACGCTTGCGCACTCTTCCAAAGTGGCGGCGCAACTACCGGTTGGTTGCCTTGACGTTTGTTTGTTTGTTGTTTACGCCGCACTCAGCAATCTTCCAGCTATATGACGGCGGTTTGTAAATAATCGAGTCTGGACCAGACAATCCAGTGATTGACATCATGAGCATCTATCCACGTAATTGGGATACGATGACATGCATCAACCAAGTCAGCGAGCCTGACCATCCGCGTAATGAAGAACGTAATAGAAGAGGCTCGACGACGAGCTGATGAAATTTATGACTACTTTGAAGATGTGGAGCAGACTAAGGATGATGGTGTGTTAGCTACCTTTGGATCAACGCTGCTCATTTTCTAGTTGATCCAGTCAAGAATTCCTTGTTCCGCTGTCAAAGTAAGCCGCCATTTCGGTTTGAGAACGAAGCGACCTCAGTCAGCGATTGTTTCGCTTGCAAGAGGCTGAAAGTTAGCGCACTGTTGTAAGGCGAATCGCTGTACATCGCTTACAAGCGATTGGCGCTTTGCAACGCACCCCTGGTGTCATCACTGATTTACAGTGATATTTGATAACCCATGCTTGCCGTGTCGTAATCGTATGCTTGTCGCAAGAGGCGACTTACGGGATCGGGTGATCAGGCTTGATGACTTGGATGATTCATGTCATCGTATCCCAATTTCAAGGATCGATGCTCATGATGTGAATCATTGGATTGCCTGGTCCAGACTCGATTATTTACAGATCGCTGTCGTATAGCTGGAATATTGCTGAGTGCGGCGTTAACAACAATATATTATATATTTATAGTGCTAGCCCACTGAGATACCATGCCGCAGTTTAACATGAATACCCCACTCAGACACAGTATACTCACTCCAAGCCGACCAGTCCTTGTTTTAGCCCCTTAATGCCGTGCGCCAGGGTAACGTACCATCTTTTAACGTCTTTTGGTATGACGCGGCCGCGGATCGATCCCCGGACCTTCCGCTCACCGGGGGGTAGAATAGGTCTTCAGCAACCCATGCTCGCCGTAAAAGGCGGCTATGCTTGTCGTAAGAGGCGACTAACGTCTGTAAATAACCGAGTCTGGACCAGACAATCCAGTGATTGATATCATTATTGATTGATTGTTTGTTGTTTAACGTCGCTCTCAGCAATATTCCAGCTATATGACGGCTGTCTGTAAATAATCGAGTCTGGACCAGACAATCCAGTGATTGATATCATGAGCACCGATCCACGCAATTGGGATCGATGACAGTCACCTCTTACAACAAGTATAGACGCCTTTTACGACAAGAATGGGTTGCTGAAGACCTATTCTACACCGGAACAATCAAGAAGAGTTACCTTTAAACCTGGAATGAAAACATCCTCATTTGTCATATCTTGATCCCCCGAGACCCACCCAACCTCGAACGACGATGTTCCATAAAGTAATATTTTCTTCACCGAGATTTTAACAGATTTTGGAGGGATTCGAAGCTGATAAATAGAGAATCTCACCCTCGTGTCTCTTGATATCAAATATATCAACACGAGTTGATAAAAGTGGAAAAATTCCGAGGCTTGCCGAGGATTTTTGCCACTTTTATCAACGAGTGTTGATATATTTGATATCAAAAGACACGAGGGTGAGATTTTTTTTATCATCCAACATCATTCTTCCAACTTTTTCAATTTATAGACAGTAATTAGCAGTGTCTTCAGTGTAAAAAGTACTGCTAACAGCTTCAGTAGCAGAGCCATTAGTGATGTCATTTGATTGTGACGTCATGGTAACCAGTGACGTCACAATGGTCTGTAAAGCATTGTGATGCAATTTCATTGCAGCGATATCTACAGTGTAGCTTATTCTACAAAAACAGAAATGTTTGTGGTGTTCAATGAGGAATGTGTCGATGGGGGCTATCATCCATTTGTTTCTGTAAAAAAGAAATTACCGAAACTGGTTATTACATATTGGTCCATATTCCATGAATGGTCATGGAAACAGCACAGAGCAGGTTCGTGTGTGATGAGAGACATGTCTTTGACATTAGTACTTAATGCGTGGTAAATACAAAACGTCAACACCAGAGAATAACCAGTCTCGATTTCACGGCCAAACAGATTCCATTCGACCTAAAAGGGAACACAGTGATGAAAATTATATAAATGGATAACTGAAATTCAGTGATGACACCAGGTGTTCCTGAAATCACCACACAAACTCATACGTCAAAAAATATCTGTAATTGTTTGGTATAATTGCAGGTTGAAATGAGTCAATTTGTCATGTCAATGCAAAAATAATTTCATTAGGATTCCATTTACGGAAATGCAGGGGGTTCATATAAGAGGGGAATAAACATATATTCATCTTCCGGAGGCAAGTGAGTTAACTGACTATAAAAGTCCAGTTTCCACCCTTGCCGAACTAGGCTGGTATTATGGAGTTACATTTTGGCTGGACTAACGAGTCTATGCATAGTCCAATCAAAATCGCGCACCGAAATCGAAATCCGGTTCGTAAAGTGTCATGCATATTTCGGTCGACTGCAGGATTTGCAAAGCATGTGCACTGCTAACTCGTTGGCAACAGATATTTTCTAAACCTTTTCATGTTTTTAATCAAGGTGCTCACGTGATTTGATGCACTTCGCGATGTAAGAATCGTTTTATCACAATATATATCTTGATTATGGATCAGATCGTCTTGACTGGGCGCCACCGTTTTGTTTGAAACAAATGCAAGTGATACGAGAGGTTGAATCTGATTGGTCAATAGGAGACGCATAGAAAGGACATAACTCGTAATAGCCACTGGTGGCGCTACGATCGAGCCCAGTAATTCCATCCAAGTTCGGCAAGGGTGGAAACTGGACTTTCAAAGTCAGTTAACTCTTTTGCCTCGGGAAGATGACATATATTTTGCCGTCTCCTCTTTTACCGCCAGAATCGATTTCTGGTCATAGTATGTTAACCGGAATCACAAAATGGTCTTGATACATTAAACATTTATAATTACAGATGGGGCGGTCGGGTAGCCTAGTAGTTTAAAGCGTTCCCTCGTCACGCCGAAGACCCGGGTTCGATTCCCGACATGGGTACAATGTGTGCAGCCCATATCTGGTGTCCCCCGCCGTGATATTGCTGGAATATTGCTAAAAGCGGCGTAAAACCATACTCACTCACTCACTATAATTACATATTCATCAAAGATGTAAACTACTTACAGATATCCAGCTTACTCCCCCGTCATAACTGAACCAGTTAGGAAAAGGAAAAACAACGTTGTCGCTGGCCCTTAAAATAGAAGATATCGATAATTATCATATACTGGGTAGGTTTGTCAGCAGGATAAAGCGAACGGATAAAAACGATATCTGTTAAGGGTCATATGCGGATAGAGATGCAAATATCAAAGGTCAAGTAGGGACAACTTTCACTGTTTATAAACAAACATGGCGTCGCCCTTGTCATTCGGCGATTGAGTCAGAATTAACCATCGGGAATCTGGACAAGCCGCTGGGATAACTGCTTTCATAATCAATATTATATATTAATAGTCTAATATACCGAAAATCTGTGTCTAATGCCTAGTTAAAGCATTTGTACAAATATTTGCCCTCCCTGTCCAAAAAAAGTTAACTACGGCCTTGAAGACTGACATTATATGATAAAGAGTTTATCACGCTTGTGTGTTTAGAGATGGTAAATATCCTGCATTAGTAATGAACACTATGTATTTACCTGGTCAAGGCTCTCTAAATACATGTTTGTTCCTATTACGGGATATTTACAATCCCTAAATACACTCGCGTGATAACCTCCATAGGGCTACCAAAATACCTAGAATGCAGGGATTGCAAAATGCAAGAAAATCCTTTTCACGTTTTGAAAATCCACAATTTTGTCTATCATCCTCGCCACTTCATATACAATCACGAACTATTGAACTGTACCCCCATTTGAAAAACAGCCCATGAAGCAGTTATCAAGTTATAGGTCGCGTAAATGTTGAAGTGAAAACAAATTCTAAGTTAAAAAAACATGTAAAAGTTCATATTTTCACCGAAAATCCACATATCAAAATCAACCAAATGTCCTTGATTGTATGTTGGTGGTTCTCTGATTGAAGACACCATCTCATTCAGTCCCTTATTTGTAGATAACTAAAATCGAAAAGATCCTGTATAATTTCCATATTCATAAGAAATCTGCCATAAGCAGAAACGACTGTACGATTACGACATTATGTTCGCGAAAAGCTGAGCGTATTCTGCCAAACTGGTGGCACACGTCACAAACGCCAGTCAACACTTTATCAACCTGAAAAGTGGGAACATATGGTACAAGTCATAAAGGGAACAACTTCGGACATTTGGAAATTTGCTCCTAGCGTCTTCCATAAAACGTTTTGAAAGCTTTACTGACGTCTTGAACAGAGTGACCTTGATCAAACAGCTTCTGAGCAAGAATCGTATGACGCTTTTCGAAATCTTCGAAGGAAGACTATACTTGATTGTACCCCAAAAGAAGTTAACTGCACATACCAAATTTTGGATCTGCTGGAGTGAGTGAGTGAGTGAGTATGGTTTTACGCCGCTTTTAGCAATATTCCAGCAATATCACGGCGGGGGACACCAGAAATGGGCTTCACACATTGAACCC